AAGTCATATTTGATTGGACTTGCTCGCCAATTGGCCATGAATTTGGACCCTATTCCCCAGAGCTGACTGACCTTTAAGATCTGGAGTTGCATATTATTAAAGTGCAGAACTGCAGTGGGATGTCCCCATCCCTAATGAGGACAGAAATGAAAGATGAAAATGAATAGATGTGTGAAGGAAGCTGGAAGTGACTGTGGTCCCTGAGACAGGAGCTGGGGAGGGGGGATGAATCCACGCCCTTCCCACTGGGGAGATAGGGAGTTATCACTGGGTGCTAGGAGGCTCACATGTTTGAACCGGTACTTAATAAACTGCCAATCACCCTACACATGTAAAGGTTTCTTTTAGTGTCACATTTCAGTTGTGAGCTTGTTAATCCACCTCTGGGACTCAGGGGCCTACCTGCATATTTTAGCTAAAAGTAACTGACAAGTGTGAAAAGTCCTAACTTCAGCTCTCAGTACTGTTTTTGATCTTGTGAGCAGGGTCTGAAGCTGGGGCTCAGGCACCAGGATCTTTGGTTGCCTTTTGTGGATAGCTCAGCCCAGGGAGAGCTCATGGCTGGTATTATGCGTAATGAGCCTTCCCCCAGGAGGGGGTATGCGGCAGGGATGTCCAGGGAAGTGATTGCTTCATCATGTGTGTACCCTGTCTTCCACACCTAGAGATTAACAAAGCTGAGGGGAACTAACCATTAACAGGTGTTTGTCACATTATCACCATCTCACTGTTGGAACATTTAAGAACGCCTCCCCTCCTGAGAGAGGGAGTCGAAAAGTTCCAATTAGGGATTTATAATAGCTGTGATGGGGAAATCCTTTTAGTGCAAATGCTTGTTGTCACGCAGGTGATAGGTAGCTTCACACTGAATTTTAGGAACCCTTTGGTTCTGTGTGGGAGATGGCTTGCAAACAGAACACTTTTCATCCAGATTTTCTTTCCCTTCTCCTCAAGAGGAAATAGCTGTCAGTTATGGTGGGACTAAGGCAACCAGGGGCACAGAGGGGTCTGTTTCTTTCCAGTGGGCCCAGCCTTTTTCTCTTCTTGCGAATCAGTGAAGACATTGAGAACGAGTGAGAAAAAAAAATTAGCTTCCCTACTCTTGTCTTTTTCCTAGAAACATAAAAAAAAATACATGATTATTCAGCATGTGTGTTTTGGGCTACTAAACATTATCGTCAAGTGATTCTTGATTCATTCTAAGCCGGGAAGATGCAAAGAGGCAGTTAATGAGCACCTAAGGTTTCTCTTTCATTTTGAGTTTTGCAAGTCTGGGGACAAAACAAAACAAAAAAATCACTTGAGATGTGTGGCAAAAAGAGTGTCCAGAATCTGCCTTTAGCTGTTGGACGTCTCCGTCCTGAGATAGCTCTCCCTGATGCCCCACCTTTGGTTTGCTGGCTAATCAAGATGGGATGCCACATGTCATAGCAGTCACCACATATTGAATGCTCTCTATGACATGATCTGTGTTTTTCATCCGTTATTCATCTTCATCCAGGGAGCCGAGCATTGCCCCATCTTACAGATGAGGAAACTGAGACTTAGAGACGGAAAGTGACCTGCCCGGGGTTGGGATTAATACTCGCTCTAGCCCATCTCTAGTTTGGGTTCTTCATCTCTCTGCTACATTGCAAGAATTTTCAGGCCAAATTTAGTCCCCAGAGGAAGCGGAGGGAACAGCTTTCCCATTTTTCTAGTTGCCTTCTCATATTCCTGAGAGAGAAGAGAGGGCAGAGTACAAAACGATTTGTCTGAATTATTTGGCTCCTCTAGAGGGACTCTATTAGACTTGTGGTAGCGCATAGACCTGCTTGTTCTCATCAGATTAGAAAAAGTCGGGTGGACAGAGGGTTTCTGCTGGGAAACATGACAGGGGTTTTATAGACAAAGGCGACCTGACAGCCGGGGTCTGAGCGTACTTTTAGGTTATTAGGATAATCGGAGTGCTAGACACCGGCACTAATCATTGGCAAGGTACATAGCAAAGTACTTCTGTCTATTTTGGAGGCAGAGACCTCTAAAGCTTTCTATTTCCATTTGATTCCATCATATCACTTTCATAACACCATGGGTGAGGCCAGTACGTAGCCTCCCAAGCAAGTAGAAAATGCCCTGTGTCTGCCACAGCTGTGACCCCAGAGAGCCCACTTCCTTTTCCAGTTTGATTTAGGCCCAACCCATGTCTGAAGGGCAGGAGAGATTAAATAAGATTGATGAAGTGCTATACAAAGAGAAAGTAAAATGGAGAACATGCAGTTTTAAAGTTCCTTTGCCACTTGTAAGATGCTTTTGAATCCAGATGTCTCTTTGTTTAAAAGTATAGAGATGTAAGGAGAATAAGCATTTCTTATATGCCTACTATGAAAGAGTATAGCAAAATGGATTGACATCGCTTTGAAGTCAGATGGAGTTTGTGTCCCTGCCGTGGCTGCGTGAACTTGGGTTGCGGGGGGGAAGTGGTTGTAGGACCTCCCTGAGCCTCAGTTTTCTCATCTATAAAATGGGGATAATAGCACCTCCTAAGGCTGACATAAAATAGATGGGGCTACTGTGATTATCAAGCAGTACTTGCTGCAGATGAAACACTGCCGGTCTTTTGGGAAACGGGTGTGGTGGTAAAATGGGGAGAGAATACACAAGATTGAGATGTGTATGCCCCCATCCACAAGGACCTTACAAAATGACCTGGAACTTCACATTTCAGTTAAGGACTTTGCCAAGTGTAAAAATTTATGCTGGTTTATTTATTTTTCTCATCCCAGGCTTGGACTTCCTAAAAAAAAAAAAATCATTTCACAGTGACCAGCCCTACTTGCTAATGTGACATAAAGCAGCTCTGTCCACCCTACCTACAGTGACTTTTGCCAGGAGTGCAGTGGTGGACGTAGGTGGCCTGGTTGATTGTCAATGCCGCCCTTTGCAGGATCCGAGGAACAGTGGCGGCCATGCCTCCCCCTGCCCCAGCTGCCCCTTCGCCCCCGCGCTAACCTGCATGGTGTGGGTGCCCTTGGGACCCCAGAGGACTGACTGTCTGACCTTACTTCACACCCTCCACAACAACTCCCCCAAGATGTCGCTCGAGTGGCTGGTGGCCTGGAGCTGGTCCCTGGATGGCCTGAGGGACTGCATCGCCACGGGCATCCAGTCCGTAAGGGACTGGGACACCACCGCTGTCGTCACTGTGGCCTGCCTGCTGGTCCTGTTCGTGTGGTACTGTTATCACGTGGGCCGGGAACAGCCCCGGCCCTACGTCTCCGTCAACTCCCTCATGCAGGGCGCCGACACCAATGGGCTACAGAACGGGTACGTGTACTGCCAGTCCCCTGAGTGCATCCGCTGCACCCACAACGAGGGGCTCAACCAGAAACTCTACCATAACCTGCAGGAGTACGCCAAGCGCTACTCCTGGTCCGGCATGGGCCGCATCCATAAGGGCATCCGTGAGCAGGGCCGCTACCTCAACAGCCGGCCCTCCATCCAGAAGCCGGAGGTCTTCTTCCTGCCAGACCTCCCCACCACGCCGTATTTCTCCCGGGACGCCCAGAAGCATGACGTGGAGCTGCTGGAGCGGAACTTCCAGACCATCCTGTGTGAGTTTGAGACCCTCTACAAAGCTTTCTCAAACTGCAGCCTCCCGCAGGGCTGGAAAATGAACAGTACCCCCAGTGGGGAGTGGGTCACCTTTTACTTGGTCAATCAGGGGGTTTGCGTTCCCAGGAACTGCAGGAAGTGCCCACGGACGTACCGCTTACTCGGAAGCCTTCGGACCTGTATTGGGAACAATGTTTTTGGGAACGCATGCATCTCCGTGCTCAGCCCTGGGACTGTGATAACGGAGCACTATGGACCCACCAACATCCGCATCCGATGCCATTTAGGTAGGTCGCAGGGCCGGGGTCTCCCAGCACGCACCCTCCTGAGTTCAGGCCGCCTGACTTACAGGACATCACAAAAGCTCAGTAGTCAGAATGGTGCTTTTTCGCATTCTTCACTGTACTTCCAGCACAGATTCATGAATCACCTGTAAACAATTTTGACAGCAGAGATTGGGTCAAAAAAGAAACTCATGATCAATAGAAACCTGATTTCTGACAGAAGCTCTGTGCAAAGGAGCGTTCTGCAGTGATGGAAATGACCTCCATCCGCACTGCCCCGTACGGTAGCCAGTAGCCATGTGTGACTGACCCTTGAGTGCTTGAGATGTAGTTAGTGTGACTGAGGAACTCAGTTTTTAACTGACTCTAAATTTAAATGGCCACGAATGGCTAGCGGCTACTGTATTGGACAGCGAAGCACTGCAGCCAAAGACTGTTACAATGATTACTGAGGTTCATAATGATGTTGGGAGGCTGGGAAAGATACGTAAGTGCCTTCTGAATCTTCAAGGATGAAATGATGCTTGGTGGTGATTTTACTGAGAGTCTAGGGAAATTGGTAATACGCGTATTGTGTGTAGCCCGGGTTTTGAGGACAAGGTTGGAGTCAGATTGCTTATGTCTCATCCTGACCCCACCACACGCTACCTGTGTTACTTTTCGGCAAGTCACATCACCTCTCTGAGCCTCAGTTTCTTCTCTTGGAAGGTGGAGGTAAAAAGATCATTTATAGAGTTCCTTTGAGGATCTAGTAAGAGAATGTATATTGTGAAACATTTGTTCCCAGAGAGCCTGATGGTGAGTACTTAATAAAAGCAGGCTGGAAAACAACTTGGTAAACAGGGATATTCGTTCCCCAGAATGCCTCATTTGTTCCTGGTGAGTCGTGATAATGGCTTGGTTACCCGGGGCGATGGCACCACGGTTAGCATCCCAGACGAGAGGAGCAGGCCGGGAGCCTTGCAAAGGCTCAGCTTGGGGAGTTTGCAGCAGTGCCTTGGCCTCAGGATAGAGACAGGAAAAACATACACACAAGGAGCCTGATGGGGCCGGAGCAGAGGTTCATAATTACTTCCAGCGGAGGAGCCTGGGGCTGCCTGCGGGGACCGGAGTGGGATGCCTCAGGCCCTCCACCCCTTCTTCACCCAGAACCCTCTGCTTCTCCTGCTCCTTGGGGATTCTGAGTGAGATGTGGCTTGGACAGAGGGCTTCACTGCTTTCAAAAACCAAAGGAACTAGATTTGAGCAGTTAACACAGTATTTCAAGAGGAAAGTCAGGATAGGGTTGAGGCTGTGGAGGAGATGGCCTGGCTTTCTTGTCAACTGTGTGACTTTGGGCAAGTAATTGAGTCTCTCTGTGCCTCAGTTTCCTCATCTGTAAAATGGGAAGATAGTATTTATCACACAGGCTCGTTGACAGGATTAAATAAAGTAATATCTTCTCTAGCTACTTGACATGGTGCCTGGCATGTGACAGCATTCGATAAACTAGTAGCTTTTAGGATCAAACACCATGTTTGTGAGAAAGGATGATTAAGACATGGTCTCTGCCCTCAGGAAACAGAGTGGGAAATGAACAGACTTGGGAAGCAAACACCCCTGGACTCAGATCTGTGAGCCCCATTTGTCAAGTGACCTTTGGCAGGCCCCTGAAACTCCTTGAGCCCCCGTTTTCTCCTCTCTCCAATGGAGGTGATGATACCTATCAGGAAGGCTGGTTGGACGATGAGAAGTGCTGTGTGTCTGTGTGAGAGGGGCTCTGAGTAACCTAAGAGGTGATCGAGCATCTGAGGGATGATGACCATGTAAAATCACTGTGTGAGGCAACAGGCACACCCTGAGGTCAGAGGACGCGAGGGCTGCAGGTGGGCTGCTCACGGGGGGTAGTCTGAGCTGAAAGGATTGCTGGGACCGCCGGGGTAGAGCAAGGGAGGTGCCCTCCCCTTGGGGCTTGGAGGAGCCATGTCTGGGCTTGCTGGGGAGTCCAGTTGTGGACGCTGAGGCTGGAGAGGTCAGGTGGGAACGAACCACAGAGGGCCCCCATGCCAGGCTTCGGAATTGAGGCTGTGGGCAATGGGGAACAATACTGTTCTTTTGTAAAGGTCTTCTTTCTATGGTTTTTTAAAAGCTTCAGCATGATGTAGGGAAGGGCGTTTTGAGGATAGAATTCCAGGCAGGTGTGTTGAGGAGGAAGGGTTGGTGGCAAGAAAACCAAAAATTTGCCTCTTATATATTAGTGCCTTTTGTGCATCTGCAGTATACGTGTGTGTGTGTGTGTGTGTGTGTGTGTGTGTGTGTGTGTGTAAATCACACCCACACGGGCCCTCTTTATGACCTGTCTTTCCCTTCTTGGCTCAGCTAGTTACTGGCTGCCAGAAAAAGTGGGCCACGTCATGTTCCCCGGACAGCAGGGAGCTCTGGAAGACATCCCACTGCAGTACGGCTAGTCCCTGTGGCCAGGTCGATCTCCACGGCTGGGTTTGCTCAGCGTTTGCTTCTTTCCACTGTCATGCCCACACTGGTGTCCACCTAGGAAGGAAGCAAAGGTGTGTTTGATTCATGTGACCGTGTGTGTTGACAGAGAGGGAGTCTAGATAATGAGGTCAGCAGCAGGCCACGCCTGCTGTGTGCCTGGCGACCACACCTCTACCAAGTACCTGGCTGAAGGTGGAGGAGGCGCATGTGGTTTCAGAGCTGTGTTCTTGAAATGCCAACCCTTGTCCTCTTTTTCTGCCTTCCATCCGAGTTGTGCTTGGTAGGACTGCCCTCTGGATGACTGCAGCCCCAGCCACTGCCCTTCAAGTACCCAGTCCATTTGTGTGGCACACATTTGCTGAGCCCTCTAGAGGTGGCGTCACTCGGTCTGGACTCCATGGGGAACCACAGGACAGCTCTGGCCCAGACGTCATCCAGCATTGTGGATGGGGCTGGGACGTCCTGAGCACAGTCACAGATCTCCAGGAAGCAGCCTCTGATGCAAACGAGGCAGGTGTTTACTGGGGAGGCAGATACCCATTTACGTGGCCAATCCTCGGGAAAGGGTAGATGAAAATGCATGAGCGTACGCAGCAAATTCTCGCTAAATGAGCACAATTTAACTCTCATTTTCCTTTCATGCGTATGCTGTCGGATTTCTGGGCTGCCTAGCTGCATGGTACCAGCAGACCAGCTCATGTTGGCCTTGCCCACCCTGAGTGCCAGCCAGCTGCCAGCCTCCTAGAGTGCCCTTCCTCCACCCTTCTCCCGCCTCCTTCAGTGGTTGGTGGGAACAGAGCAGCAAACCCTAAGCCAGAAAGGGACCTGGGCAGATGGGACTAGCCGAGGCCATGTGTGGGACGTGCCTCTGTCCTCAGGAGCCACCCGAATGCTTTATTTGGGGGAGTATTGATGACTTCTACCAACTAGACTGGTTTGTGGGCAAGAAGCAGGAATGGTGGGTCACTGGAGGACTGGAGCAGAGTGTGGGGAGAGGCAGAGGACAGTAAGCAGGGGGCCGGCCAGCCAGCCAGCCAGGTCAGTTTTCTGTTGTGTGTGGCCGTGAGTCATTTAGTGGCTCAGAGAAAGGGGCGCTTCTCTCTGAAACCCTGGGTAGACTGTCCCTGCAGAGAACCTCCTCTTCCTAAAGACTGTCTCCACCCAAACCAACAAGTTAGGGCACGCGTGAAAAGAGAACGTGGACTGTGGGGCTGTCTTCATCTGGGCCAGTGAGCGGTGGCTGAACCCCTTTACAACCCTAACCCTCCCCCCCCCCCCCCCCCCCAGCAGTTGTTAATAGTAGGGACAGAGCATGGTTTCAGAGTCAGAATGGACAGTCTTGGCCGATTCAATGAAATATATATTGATGGCTGAAACTTACATTAACTGCAGGAAAATCAGCAACCACTTGACTGTCACTGCTACTAATGTAATAACTAAGCATTTATATCATACTGTCCAGCGTTATAAGAGCATGTTCTTTGGAACCAGACAGATTTGGATTCAAATCTCAGCTCCCGCAAGGACTAGATAGTGACTTCGGCAGGTCACTTAACTTCTGTAAATCTCAGTTACTCCACCTGGAAAGTAGGTGACGTGATGCCTGTAAAGTGTTTAACACAAACCTGCTCACTGTAAGTCTTCAGTTACTGGTAGCAAGGACAGTGGTCATGTAGCCCTGGCAGGTAAGTATGCTAATGTCCTCCCTTTACAGACAACAAGGCCATGGCTCAGAGAGGTTGAGTGCTTGTCCAAAGTCACACAGCACATACGAGCCAGAGCCAGTCTCTGACTCCAGGTCGTCTGTCCTTCCACTCCTCCATGTGGCCTTTGTTAGAATTCTTACTGCGTACGTGTTTCCTGGAATCATCCATTTCTGGTTCAAAGAGTGCATTAAAAATGCCCTGCCTGATAGAGGAAGGGCTGCTTCATGTTTGTCATAAAGGAGCATGAGGTCATGGGGGAATGCCAGCTGGCCCAGGGTCATGGTTTTCCCAGTGAGTCACTGAGGACAGTGAGAACACCACAATTCCAGCCCCTTTTCCAGGGCCCCGCTTTCTCCTGGGTCAATCCTTCTGGAGAATTACCAGGCTGACCCAACCTCTTCTGAGCCTATTGGTGACAGGGGCCCAGTGTTTCCCCAGACCCTTGGATTGGAGACGGGGGTGTGAAAGCACATGCACAGCCGTGTTTCAAGCAGACCCCTTTCCAGGGTTAGGCACCCAAGCCTGGGACTCACCACTAGTGTTTCAAGCATAGGGCTCCTTAGGAAGGTGTCAGCCTATTTCCTCTTGAAGATCAGGCGTTTCCTTAGGAGTGTCATCCAGTATTCCAGAATGAGGCCAGGGAAAACTTAGACTAAGAACATGCCGTCCTCGGGCCTCAAAATGGATTTATAGGTTGGAACCCAAAGAGGAGGGTACCGTGTGAGCCTTTGCATCTCTCTAAAACAGCCCTAGAGACGGGACTTAGGAAACACAGTTATTGAAAGCTGAGGTTCTGAACCTGGTTTCCTTCTTTTCCAGGGGTCCCGTGGTTGGGCTCCAGGAGGCTTAAATGTGTAGAGCAAGCCTTGGCTCCTGCCTTTAATCAGAGGGGTCCTTGACCAAGAGCAGATTAAGCCAATGGAGGAATGAGTTTTTCCAGGGAGCATGGCGAGGATCCAGGCGCACACCCTGTATTTGCCCTATTGAACTATCCCCACCCCAAACCGGGCACCCGAGGGGTGAAGCTTGGGTGCTCCGGAAGTGGAGAGCTCTCCCCAAAGCAGCCACTCCCTGACTTCCGGCCCTCCCTGATCCTGCCCGCCTTCATTCTCTCTTCTCTGCTTTTCGTGCCCAGGTCTGAAAACGCCAAGTGGCTGCGAGCTGGTGGTGGGGGGCGAGCCCCAGTGTTGGGCCGAAGGCCGCTGCCTGCTGTTCGACGACTCTTTCCTACACACTGCGTTCCACGAAGGTGAGTGTCTGCCTTCCACACTGCTGCTTTTGTTTAATTTATCTTATTTTTAAGTGTAGTTTTAGGTTTCCAGAAAAATTGAGCAGAACGTACACACCACCCCCATACACAATTTCCCTTTATTCACGTCTCGCATTAAGCGTGGTACATTGGTTATAATGGATGAGCCAGTGTTGGCACATTATTAATCGAAGTCAGCAGTTTACACTAGGGTTCGCTCCACGTTGTACATTCTCGTGGGTTTTGACAGATGTATAATGACATGTATCCACCACGAGAGGATCATACGAAATAGCTTCACTGCCCTAAAAGTCCTCTCTGCTCCACCGCCCACAAATGCCCCCTCTCCGTCTGCCCATTGCCTTTCACGTGCTCCGCTCAGAGCCTTAGGAAGCCATGAACATATTCTTGACCAGAGAGGAGGAGGTCTGCCGATCTGTGCCTGAAAGCTAACGGTGTGGGCCCCAGCTCTGCGGGGTCCAGGCTCCGGAGCTGTTTGAACCTCTCCTCTCTTGCCCGCAACCCCAGGTTCCGCAGAGGACGGCCCACGGGTGGTTTTCATGGTGGATTTGTGGCATCCAAACGTCGCAGCGGCTGAACGGCAGGCCCTGGATTTCATCTTTGCTCCAGGCCGATGAGAACATCTCCCATGCTGGGGTCAGCGAGAATGGCCGCGGGTCAGCCTGGGCAGGCTGTGGTACCGTCAGCACCCACCCGCATCCACGATTCCATGCTCAGAAACCTGCCTCAACAGAAAGCTCTTCTTTGGAATTTTTATACCATGTCGGGTCCCTCTTCCTTTTGGTTATTGTGAGTGGGAAATTTTCAGCTCGTAGTCCCTTAGATTTTTTTTTTTTCCCTCCCAGTCATTTGCTTCTGCGATTCCTTTCTGCCTGATATGGCGCCTTACTTTGCTCTGTGTGACCAGAGGCTCGGTCCCCCTGTTGTCTGTGTCACGTGGCTACTTGGTTTGTTCAGTCCTCTCTGAAATAGAGTAATCAAACGGTTATTTGTTTGAATGTAACACCGTAAAACTTCTTGTGGTCACCTTCCAAGAAAACAACAAAAACAAAACACCGCGAACCTGAGCGCTGGAGAACTTGGCCTCTGCTGCTGTCACAGTTGCACAGGGGACTCCTCTGCCTGCGCCTCCCCGCCCCTCCCCCAAGGGCAGGGGAAGAGTCTGCAGCCCTGGCATCCAGCTGCTTCATTGGCAGGGTGGACACGGTCAGGGGCAGCGCACAGTGTCATGGCTTGGGTAAATGTCACCATCTGCTCTCCCCACCCCAAGCCCTGTCAGGTCCCTGATGGTAGAGAGCATTCGGCTGGTGGGATTTGAGGCTTTCCTTCAAAGCTGAGGCTGGTGTCCTCAGGAGCCCAGGTGGGGCTCCCACGGGTCAGCCACAGAGTGTGTGACTCACTTACCTCACTGCCTACAGAAGCCCTACTGCCAAACCAGGCCTGGCCAGTTCCCTGTTTTAGCTGTTGTGATGATGAACTTCGAGACCACCGGGTTGGCTAATTTGAGCTGTGGCGGGATAAGATCTCACTCATCCAGTGGCATCCTGGAAAGCCTTTCTCTGGCAAAACTGAAATCATAGATCCAACCAAAGTGTCTGTTTTGTTTTGGAGTTCTGTTGTGTATGATTTTCCATTTCTTTGTATGTACATAAATGTCCAAATGCTGGACTCGGAGACAGTGGGAGAGTCAGCCCTATGTCTTTGGCATTGCACAAGGTGTGTGCTAAGTGACAGCAGCCTAAGCCAATGTGTGAGTGAGGACACTGGGAAGACATACGGACCCAAAGGGCCACCAGAGTCACGGTGCTGGCTTTTTGGTCTCCTGTGAAGGACGTGGCCAGTTTGAGGCACTAAGTCTAGAAACAGCCTCCTGTGAGGCTGTGTGTGTGAAAGGGCAGCCTTCAGCCATACTAGAGATGCCATTTTTGAATAATGTATTATGGCAGTGTCCGACTGATAAGCCGCGGAGCGGTTTGGAATACACAGCTTGTCACATATGCAGGGACAGCGTTTCTATCCGAATGGAAGCGAGCAGCTTCTGGTTTCTAGAACAACCTCCAGAAATAAACATCTGAAATGCACTAGGCAGTTCCTAGCAAGTATGCAAAGAAAACGGGTCTACAGTTGAGTAAAATTTCTACAAGCTATTTTTCAGTGATTAGACTGCAAAAAAGGGCAGACATTTCAAAACACCTGAAGTCTTTTTACTCATTAAGTATTTGTTAAGGAATCACCGAGGTGCATGATTTCTGTACATACCAACTGCTCTACGTTTACAAAGCCAACAGCCCACACAGGTACCTGGCTACCTGGACTCATGGGATGTGGTTGGGGACCAGGAGGTAAATAAAGGATCTTGCTGTAAACCAGAGTGAAGTGGTAAAGTTGTCTGTTGGGAAGAAGATGTGACTTGGGCAGATGTGTGAGTTTGAGGCTCTTGGTGTTTAGATCGTGTTACAGCGACAGGTGGGATCCTGAAAGTGACCAGTATAGTGAGTGAAGCACCGTGGAGTTCTAAAAGAACGGGCGTGGGGCGGGGAAAACAAGCAGATCTGTGCGGTGTTAAGGAACGGCGGCTGTCACCCTGGGCGAAGACCAAGGGCTTTGGCTTAAGGAAAGCTGAGGGTTTGGGACGCAGAGCCAGGAACTCGTTCCCAGGTGACCTCGGGCCGATTCCAGGGCCTCCGGGAGCCCCAGCTGACTCCCATGTGCAGACGGTGCCTGGCACATAGAGCAACGTTGTTGGTTCCGTTTCTGCGGTCCCAGCGCTTCTAAGCCGTTCCAGAGAAGCAGGTGAGGAGGAAGGATGGGTACGGAAGAGACGGGCACATGTGATCAGGGGTAGTGGTGGCCGGGGGGCCACTGGCTCCTCTCCATTTCCTGTGGCTAACTACAGGTAGAGAAGCACGTCCCTCAATAGCTGCTACCTTTTGAATTTTTTTCCCTTTGTCTTAGAAGAGGGACAGGTGACGCTGGTGGCCTGGAACCCGAGGAGCAGCCTGTCTGCCAGGTACTTTCCTATGCAAGCCCGCTCCCAGCCCTCAGCCCTGGCTGGGCTGCCACAGCAAACGGGAAGGGCACCACTCGGTGGGGGCCGTGACGTTTCTCACTCCTAAAGCGTGCATTGCCAGCTAGGCAACTGCCCAAGTAATTTACATGCGACAGCTAGGGATGCTCAAGGTGACAAAGAGGAGCCAGCGTGCCAGCCCAGCTTCAGATGAGAAGCCCTGCCTGCTGCTCTGAGGCGGCCTGCTTCTGCTTCAAGGCCAGACTGCACGAGCTCACCTCCCAGGCCTCCCGGCGCCTGCTCATTGTACCCCAGACTCCCCTAGGTTGGGTCCTGAGCCCTTTGGGACGGAGACCCCACTCATACCATCGAGTGCCCTACAGAATACAGTGGGGGAGGGGAAGGGGACTCGTAGCCCACTGGTTCTTGACGTTGGCTGCTCAATACACCTGGGGAGTTTCTGAGACATACTGATGCCCACCCCCCATCCCCAAAGCATCTCATTTTTTTGTTGTTGTTCAGTGGGTGGGGCCCAGGTCCTGGTATTTGTTTGCACTCCTTTCCTGCCCTGATTCTAATGTGTAGCTGGGACTGAGGTGCTGCCCAGAGTAGCAAGAAATGGCAAGGCCTTTGAAACCAGCCACCTCGTGGTTAGAGACTGGGCTGTGCCCCTGGGTAATGCCAGGCAGGCCACCTAACCTTGGTCTCTAGGGACAGTCAGTGTTTCCTTGCAAGACCATAACATTCCTATTGTCAGTCCTTGGGTTTCCAGGACTTGACCCAGCCTCAGTTGCAGGACTGGGCTTATGATGCAGACCTGACCAATCAGAGCCTTCCAAACTACTGGCCACTCAGAAATTGGGTCAGGCCTGGGCACATGACCCTCACCAGACCAATCAGAGCCTTTTAAACTCCTGGGCACTCAGATTGGGTCGGGGCTTAGTACATGATCCAAGTTCTTTTGCTGGGACCATTGAGAAAGAGAGACAGCGTTTCCCAGGGTGGACGGAGGTGGGGATCTAGTGGAAAGAAAATTGGAGAGTGAAAGCCACAGAGAAAAACAGTTTCCATCCTGTCATAACTATAGCTTTTCCTGTGACAAGCTCTACCTCTGGACTTTTTAGTTACGTGAGCCAATAAGCTCCGTTTTTACTCTTAAGCCGTGTTTGAGTTGTGGTTTCTGTCCCTCGCCCCCCAGAAGTCCTAATCCACTCTGAGCTCCATCTATAAAATGAGCCTAATGCCTACTTGCAGACTTATAGTAAGGTTCGAATAAGATAATAATATGTCAAGTGCTGGGTGGATTAGACATGCTCCACACATATTTTTAAATGTATAATAAATATGACAAGCAAAGGCTAAGTACAAAATGCTGTCGTTAAGGCCCATTGCGTCCTGCTGCCAGCACCCTCTCCATCACATTTACCTCCCCAGATGAATCTTGCTAACCAGATGTAAACACACGGAACAGGACAGAATAAGGCCCTATATTTTCGAGCTGCTGACAGATGGCAGTGAAAATACTCAAGCAGATTGTAGCATTAGGCGGCAGGAGGCAACACACACACAGATGGATTTACTTTCTGCCTCCTCCCCAGGCACACGCATTTGTCCTAACTTCATGTTTACCTCCCCTTCCCTGTTTCCCCACTGCTGATGCCGTAGCCGCCCCGGATTCAACGGGAGGGCGTTTCCTCCTTGAGTACCGCAGGCATGTGCGCTCTGGGAGACGCCTTCACATGCGTCATTATGCCACTCATCCATGGAGCCACACTGGGGGAGGCCGGGGCCACTGTGCACGTTTAACTTGAGAAACCAGGCCCGGAGCGGCCGCCGATGTGAACAAGGGCCGGAGGACGAGCTGGACTTAGAAGCCAGGGGTCCAAGCTTGAAGCTCAGCAGTCTTTTGAACTCTAGACCTAGACATTCAGGCCCCACTGTCCACAGGACGCCCTGCCCAGGGACCCCCTACGAAGGCTGTTCACCTCAGCACACTCACGATGAAGTCATTTTCAGAGGGTCCGCAGTATGCTATGCCTTTACATACGTTACGTTTTCCTCTCCATTTTTAAAGAAGATGACACTGAGGCTCAGAGACATAAAGTCACTTGGACAAGTTTCCAAGGCAATAAATCATAGAGCTGTGATTGGAACGCAGAGTTCTGACACCATCGCCCACGTGCTTCTACTGCCCCCAGGAACCAGTGCAGGCTGGCTGGAGATAAAGGATGTACTTTCAGACAAGTGTGCCTGTTGACCAGCACACGGGAGATGGCTTGTCTCACCCGCCCCCTGCCCATGGGCCTTCCTGGGTACAGTGCTCTGGGCCCCCAGCCCTTCCCCGGGAGCACTGGGCCCAGCTGATGAGGAAGGCAGGACAGGAGAGAAGGGGTGGCTCTCAGCTTGGACAGTGGCAGTCATGAAATGGCCTCTTTGTGGCTCTTGACAGGATTCAAAAGATATTGTGGGGGCCGGGTGAGTGGCTCTGTTGGTTAGGAGCACACGCTCCAGAGCTACGCCAGAGCTGAGCTGCCACTGAGCTGCCAACAGGTGGTGGATGGCTCAGCTGGTGAGAGCACGTGCTCCTAACAAGGTTGCCGGTTTGACTCCCGCATGGGATGGTGGGCTACAACCACCCGCAACTACGATTGAACACGGCACCTTGAGCTGAGCATCCGCCAGCTGCCGACGGACGGCCAGATGGCGACTGGACTTGGAGCTGAGCTAGCTGTGCCCTCCACAACTAAGATTGAAGAACAGCAACCTGGCTGGTTCCCTTCCCCAATTCCCCAACACTGTTCCCCTTCCCCAATTCCCCAATAAAATCTTTATAAAGAAAGAAAGAAAAGAAAAGAAAGAAAGACAAAGAAACAAAGGCATTCTAGGTTTTATCCCCAGGAGAAATACAGATGATTTCAGGTTAGTACATTTAAAATAAACAGAGAGGTGTCCTATGTTAACCTTGAAGCCTTCAGAACTGTGCCCTGAAAGTTTTCTACGTTCAACCAACATGCTGAGAAAAGAGCCCGAGTATCTTTTTTTCCCCCTGAACTAGGATGCCCCTCCCCAGTCTCCTCATAGAGGGGCCCAGGGGCAGGGGACAGGGAGTCCTCCCTCCTGCCGCGTTTCAGAGGACAAGTCAACAGTTAAGGGTGGGAGTGGGGCGGGGGTGGGAGGGGACACACACACACACACACACACACACACACACACACACACACACACACACAGGCCCAGGGTGAGAGGACCAGCCATCCATCCCCACTTCCTCCCTGTAAGAGCTCCTGAAGAACAGGGGTTTCCCAGGCCGCTCCCTCCACCAGAAAGCAGTGCCTGTTACAAAGCAGGCACATCCCTCCCCCTGCCCGCACCCCCAGCCCACGGTCCCATGCAGGCACTCTCCTCTCCGAAGTAGCCCTCCAATCTGCCCACTGCTCTCCACGTCCGGCCACCTCCTTGTCCAGGCCACTAACCTGGACAGCCAGAGTCCTATTCATGGTTTCCACATCTGCCCTGCTCATCAGCCATTCAGGAGCCAGTGATCTTTCTACTGAGAACCAGAGCGAGCCACCCGCCCTCACCACCCTGCTTCAAGGCTCTCATGTGCCCAGCACCTTGGCAACCTGGTGCGAGGCCCCAGCGCTCCTTGCTGCCCACCCACCCATGCTCCCTGGCACTGCACTGCTGATTGACAAGGAGCTTGGAATCACCCGAGGGAGAAACACAATGTTTTCAGCACGGGCTTGTAAGTTTCCTGTGGCTGTTCTAACAAACTGCCACAAACTTGGTGGCTTAAAACACCAGGACTTCATTCTTTCGTACTTGTGGAAATCTGAAGTCCAAGATCGGTTTCACTGGCCCTAAACCAATGTGTCAGCAGAGTCGCATTCGCTCTGCAGGCTCCACGGCAGAACCCATCCCTTGCCTCTTCCTTGACTGTGGCCACATCCCTCCAGTCTCTGCCTCCATCTTCACTTCGCCTGCTCTGTGTGGCTCGCCTCCCTCTGCCTCTTATAAGCACACTTGTGATGGCATTGAGGGCCCACTGAATAACCCAGGAAAATCTCTGCATCTTAAGTCTTAATCACAGCTGCGAAACCTTCAGCCTATGAGGTTAACACAGGATCCAGAGATTAGGACCTGATATTTTTTGGGGTCACCATTCATCCCACTCTGCAGGGCCTGTGGCTCACACAGTGGAGGACTCATTGCTACTCACTGCAGGATGGGGCACTAGGGACGCAGTAACTGGAGGGCATCTCAGCTACATGGTAAAGGATCACTGACCGAGGGGGTTAAATACTCACAGACACCAGAGAGGGTGATTTGAACCAACATCCAGCCTCCAGCTGATACCACTGTCAAGATGACAAGAGCAGATAAGCCCAGATGCTTCCCACTAGGGGGGAGGCATTTGATTAGGCTCAAAGGCCCCCCTAGGAAACAGAGATCCTTTCCCAGCGGGAATCTACTTGCCACTATTAATCACTCCACAGGGCACTTGGTCCTGACTGTTCACAGGTGGCAGACACTGAGCTGCGCTGTGCGGCAGGGCAGGGATGACCCGAAACAGAGCCTTTCACTCCCTCTCCCTCCTCCTGTGTTCCGGGCCTGCAGGAGGCTGTTGGGCTGGATGACAGTGGCACTCTGGTGTCAACTGTAATCCAAAGACTGGGCAGGCTGTCTTACAAATGCGGCCTTCCCTGGGAAGCGCCGCCCTGAGGGCTGCGGCTGGCTCCAGCAGCTGTGGGACGCCTGGCATTTAGAGGCTAATTTTGAGGGTATGGGTCTGGGGCTGTCATGAAACGATTTCCTGAGAGCCCCCTGGACCCCTGCAACCCTGACAAGAAGACAAGCGGCTGAGCGTTCCTGTTCCAAAAGCCTCGGGGCTAGTCACAACCAGGGCTGTGGCCGCGGGACTGAGCCAACTCCACTGCAGGAACGAAACAAAGGGAACCTGAGAAGCAAAAGGAAGACAAGAGCCAGTAAGTGCCTCCGGACTTTAGTTCTGAATTAATCCCGGGCGGGTGAGACACAGGGGGTCCTCTCCTGTGAACAAGGGAGAGGATTTGCAGGGTTCTATCTCAGTGGAGAGAAAAGGGTTCGCAGCATGAATGCGTTATAAAGCTGTTTTCTTTGGTCAGCTACCGGGGGACTCTGGTTGGAGCCAGAGGGCAACGTGCCGAAGCAGCCACAGCTGAGCCTGGAGGGCTGGACTGGGGACAGGTTCCAGAAGCTTCAGGAACAGCGGAAACGCACACCATGGGAGGTCACTTTCCAGGCTGACCCTGCTATGTGACAAGAAAGTAGGTGGGCGGAGGAGGGCAACCTTTCCCCCTCCCTTCCCAGCCCCAGCAGATGCATCTAGGTCCAAGGAACGATCCTCATCCAGGGACAGCCCCCCACCCCCCCAACTTCTTCCGTGTTGCTTGTCCTCCCACTCCACCTGCTGAGTGTCCTCAAACTGCAGGGAGGTGACACCGTTGCCCCTGGGCTTCCATTACATTCCTCCTAGAGAGGCTGGGTGGGGGGCCAGGGAGGCTGGGGCCTGGGGGACCAAGGGGAGGGGTGCCCACCCTCAGATGACAGTGCCCTGGCTGGAGGCAACTGGGACACTGGAGAATGAAGAGGGGCCCGGGCGGGCCCCAGAGCAGAGGAAGCAGGGACCCAGCTGGCTAGTCATGTCAGGCTCTGGGACTCACAGGAAGTGAGAGGCGCTCAGCATTGGAAGTTGCCCAGCCCAGTTCTCCAAGGTGGGAAAGGAGGTAGCTGGGATCCGAGACCGATGCTTTGGCTCGCATTTGGCTAAAGGGTCCCTGTGCTAAAGCTGTGAGGAACTGAGTTTGGGGATGGGATATGGCATGCAAGTATATTATCTGTTGCTATTTAACAAATTATCCCCCAAAGAGTGGCTTAAATACATTTATCTCACACTTTCTGAGGGCTAGGAATTCGAAAGTGGCTTCTTAGCTTGATGGTTCTAGTTCAGCTCTAATAAGGCTGCAGTCATCTGAAGGCTTGACTGGGGCTACAGGACCTGCTTCTAAGAAGGCTCACTCACACGGCTGTCGGCAGGAGACCTCATCACGTGGGCTGCTTGAATGTCAACCTCTCCCCAAAACAGCTGAACCAAGAGAGATGAAAGCTGTAATGTGTTTTCTAACCTTCTCTCACACTGTCATTTTTCACCACATTCTATTCATTAGAAACAAGTCACGAAGTAGGGCCCACACTCAAGGGAGGGGAACATTAGGTCCTGAATTTGTAGGAAAGAATGTGTGGACATATTTTAAAGTGACCACCACATGTGGGTCTTCATAGCTTGTGCTAATCACATGCTCTTCATCTGATTGTCAGACTCAAAGGGAAGCACCTGGCTGCCTGCAGCACCGCTTCTCACAAACAAAAGCATTTTGTATTAAACGTGCTTTTAGGCTCAAAGGCAGCCCTGGGAAATGAGACGGGGAAGAGAGGTTTCTGAAAGCAAAACAAATAAGATTAAGATCTACCCATGGCCTGACATCCAGGAAAGGCCCACCAGCAGGCAAACGATTTTCTCTCGATTTTCTCTCGTGAAACAGATCTTGTGGGGAAGAGTCCTTGAACACACGCAGTTGGGGGAGCTACTGGTGGGCAGATGAAAACGGGCTCCGGGCTCCAAACTCTGTCCCTGTTTCAACACGTAACGGGTTGTAATTTCACTTGAGCTCAAGACTCTGGGGACCTCGCCATTCAGGAGCACCAGTGAGCAGGAGGAAAAGTGTGGCTGCTTAAAAATTCCCCAAAAGGGAAAAGGAACGTGTAATGTGGAAGTCAGTCATGAACGTTCCTTGAGAGGTTGGCATGCAGACTTTAAAGAATTTTGTTTTGGAGAATTTAGCAGAGAAGTAGGACAATGTACACTGATCCTAGGGTGAGGGACCATCGTCCTCCATCTGGGAAGATCACTCTCTTAGGCCAGCCAGTGGCAGGAGGGTGAAGGCAAGGGTGACACGGGCCTGGGGTGCTGAGCTGGTGCTCCTTGGAGCAGCTGGCTATGACGCGTCACCCTTGCAGGGAGGCCATTCTGAGGTGCCCCCTTCCTCCCCTGGCCATACTGGGTGAGGCAAGGAAAAGAGAAACGTGTCCTCACAAAATATGTACATACATACATGTCCGCCTATAAACTACTGGATTGTCGGAAAAGTCATGACGTTTTTTTTCTGTTTTTCATTGCAAAAATGCAACATGACTTTTCCGACAACCCAATATCTTAACCCTTACCTTAACTTTGTCACGCGAGATGTTACAATTTAATGACTCAGAACTCAATAGCATTTTTGGCTATTTTATTTTAGCCCTTGGAAACTTGTTTCGAGAAAGGCACCATGTCATAAACATTAGACATCTGTTCACTGACATGGAATTATTAACACAGCCGTTTTCAAATGGAATCTGAGTACTCGCAGTAAACATTAAGATTTCGGTAAATGTTTTTATCCTGTGATCGGCCCCATGTTATCATATTATAACATGTCTGCCTATAATGTAATAGAACTGATGTACCTACACGGGCCCAGAGACACACAGCCGCCGCTGAAAAGCACGGTTCTGCCTTTGCCCCAGAGCACCTGGGAAACTCACTGAGGGACACTCACTCAAGAGGAACCAGCTGCACTGCCCAGTGCTAGCCAGTTTCAGCACCCCGGGGCTTCTGGTTATCACCAAACCGCAAACTCCCTCCCACATTATCAAGATTTGCCGCCCCCCCCCCCCCCCGTGGTATTCCAAAGAACAGGCTCCTGGTTTTGAATCCAGTTCCAGAAGAATCCCAACAAGGTGGTCCCAGCCTCCCTGACGTTCCCTGAGTTCAGTATGCAGCCTCCCAGGAGGACCGCTCTGAAGACAGTCTGAGAAGTGTGAGTTCTGTGAGTTCCGCTCTGTTTGCTGACAAGCCCATCTCCTCACTGTGCGCTCACACCTCAGACCTCCCCCTGGAGACAGGGCTGGACAGACACATGCCTCAGGAAACTATTAAATAACTGGCCCTGCCCCGCTTTGGCAGGCCCCACACTGCCAGCGTGATAATGGTCTTTCTCAGGTGCTCTAGGTCTGTGGACCTGAAGACCTGACTGCTTACCCCCTAACCTGCAAAAGGGGTCACGGACACTCAAACACCATTACGTTCCTAAGAAAGGGACTAGTCCCAGGAAAATAAAAGGGAAGGGCTTTTTTGCGTTTGAAAAGGCAGAGTTTCCTTGCTGGTACTCGATTTGATGGTCGTCTCCTGGGGGAATGACCCTCCCACTGCGGCCCAGTTCAAAGTAAGTTCACCCCATGCTTCAGCAGCTTCTGCTTGGCTCTGCCTGGGAGGCTGAAGACGCCGTCCTGAGGGCTTGGGAAGCCGGAGCTCCGCGCTGCCGACGCCAGCTGCTGGAAGTAGGTTTCCTGGACGGGGTTGCAGCAGGCATACACGGCTGTGGAGGCATTTCTGTGGGAGGAGGAGAGGGGACGACAGTTGCCGCTGCCTGCGCACATCTCAGGCCACACAGAGGCTCTGAGAGGCACTCACGCGAGCGAGGCCCTGCACACCACCTGCCGTGGGTGCAGCTGTCATGGCTCAGGGTTCTGCTTGTTCACCTGAAGTTCAGGTTCGGTGCCAATAACCGTTTCCCTTCCTTTCAACTCACTGGATCCTGGGATGGTCCATGGCGGCCACAGCCACAGGACCTGAAGCTATAATAACTGAATAAATAACCGATGGGTGCGTGTCTTGTTGCTATAATACCAGCCGTGCAAACGCCTCTCACATAGCCTGGCTGACTCCTCACACGGCCTTACGCAGTAGCCGTGTTCTCCCGTTTGACAGACGAGGACGCTGAGGCTCAGAGGTGGCTGATGCTCTCAGGCCCCTATGACAAGCACTGACCGTGTCCAAGGAAGGGGTCTTGACCTCCACACACACGGGGGCGGTTGGATGAGCGAGGGGACAGAAGAGGGGGGCTGAGGGTCTGATTCAAAGGAGGACCCCCTGGCTCCTCGATCCTGCCTGTCTCAAACTATTTCCCCGCTGGGCTCAGCTCCCCAAATCCAGCATAAGGAGGTGGAGCCAGGAACCACTGAGGCTCCCCTCACCCAGATCTCTCCTTTCACATAAGGAGGGAGAGTCCCAGCCTCCTCTGGCTTCTTCTGGGACCTCAAGGGCCGGGAGGCTCCACCTGGTGTACGTGTTTTGTGCCATGGAGAGGGGGGACTGTGGTCTGGAGGGCATGGGCTGATCCCAGCCCTGCTGTGTGCCCTTGGCTAAGCGGCTCAAACTTTCTGAGCCCCAGCTTCCTCATCTATAAAATGGATTTAATCCCTCCATGGGATTTTTTAAGATATTAAATGAGTAGGAATAGATAAAAATACATATAAATTGCTTAGCACACAGTGAGTGGCTAAGAAATGGTAGCTGTTGTTTCTATTACTATTAAAAGAAGCTACATATCCCAATGCTAAAACCCTCTCAGCTCCAAGGAAGGTGAAATACTGCAGAGCCACCAACGGGTTGATGCATCAGATGCTGACATTGTACTTATTTCCATCGCTCACAAAATAGACACACACACACACACCCCCAAACCAATTCCCAAATTAGTGACTGTCGATACAAATCATATCTAGGTTGCTGGCCTGGGGCAGCTCTGACTTAAAGCCAGAGAAGACACATTTGTTGTGGGAAGATCTATTGAAATATTGACGGAAGATGGCGCTGGGCAGCAGGAATGCCCGGCACTCCCTCTTGACCACACGGCCCTCTGAAACTGGAAACGTGTGTGGAAAGAACATGCACTTTATAGAGTCAGAGACCGGGGTTCAAATCCTGGCTCTGCCACTTAATAAGAATGTGACTGGGGCAAGTCACTTAGCTTATTTGTGCTTCAATTTCCTTATCTGTAAAATAAGGATAAAAACTGCACTTGCCCAAATTGTTCCAAGGACTAAATGGAATAATACACACATAGCAGGCACTCCCCTCTGACCCTCTAACTTGCCTTATTTTCTGCTACCAGTTTCATAGAGAGGCATGTAGAAAGAAAAAGGAGAATTCGGTTGGTTAAAACTATAAATTGTAATAATAATTAATAGATCTGTATCTACCAGCATAGAGATATTCAAGGTATGCAATAGAATGAAAAAAGGAACTTGTAAAACAGTACATTAGTACAATCCTGTTTCCTAGAACACCATTAAAATAATTAAAATAAAAATGCTAATCTATATTTTATATATAAAAAATGAAAACCAAAAACAATAAAACCTGGAGTAATATACCAGTTGGACAATTACATTTGCAAACTCATCCTAGAAAGTCTACCTATCTCATTGTTGAATATCACTATAGTCACCTTCGAAGTACTCCCCTTGGGAAGCTATGCACTGACGCCAGCGCTTAGTCCACCCTTCAAAGCAATTTTGGAACTCTTTCTCTGGAATGGACATCAGAGCTGTCATCATATTACCCTTGATGTCCTGAATGTCATCAAAATGTCTTCCTTTCAATATTTCCTTGATCTTTGGGTAAAGAAAGAAGTCACTGGGGGGCTAGATCAGGTGAGTAGGGAGGGTTTTCCAATACAGTTATTTGTTTACTGGCTAAAAACTCCCTCACAGACAGTGCCGTGTGAGCCGGTGCATTGTCATGATGCAAGAGTCCTGAATTGTTGGCAAAAAAAGTTCAAGTCGTCTCACTTTTTCATGCAGCCTTTTCAGCACTTCCAAATAGTCAACTTGGTTCACTGTTTGTCCAGTTGGTACAAATTCCTAATGAATAATCCCTCTGATATCAAAAAAGGCTAGCAACAGTGTTGGAACAAGTTCATGAACTTAATTGTTAGGCCTCGTACACCAAACTACTAACTATGGGTATCTTTCAGGTATTGACGGGCAAGGGGAAGAAATGTTTCACTTTATAGATTTGGGAGCAGTCTGAATCCTTTGGTGATGAGCACGTATGACTTGTCACTTCAGCATCATCTACGACAAGGAGAGAACCCTCCTTCCCCAGTGATGAATGGAAGCTCTGAGAGTGTGAGGACCTGAGGTTTCCTCACTGTTGTACCCCAATGTCTCAAGCAGGTCTGAGCCCCAGGATGGGACCCAGAAAATACACAACCTAGGGAAGCATGACAGTAAATAATGGCAACCACAGGAGCGCATAAGAGAAGGCCTTAAAGAGAGTGAGTGACATGCTCTTCCGTTAGTTATGAGTGAGTGTCTTCCCCGGATCCCTGGGAAGGCGGCTCCTGGTCCAGGACTGTGAGGGTGACTGAGGGGAAAGCTCACCTGGCGGTCATCTCGTACAGCGAGGGCAGCTGGGCGAAGTCAGCATGCATCAGGCTGACGGCGTGGAGGAAGCGGTGATCCTGGGGGGTGGCCACCTGAGGCACGTTTGCTTCCAGAAGAGGACACAGAAGTTATGAATCGCAGACTCCTTTCCCCCATGTCCCCGAGCCAGTACTGTCCAGTGTGACAGAACGTGGCTCACGGCCAGGACTGCGGGCGCTGAGGGGGAGGGGCCCAGGCCTGCCCAGCGCGCTGGGCCCTGACAGCTGCCGCCATGCGGCACAGGACACGCTGTCCTCAATAATGAGCATCGCCGGGTTTGTGCATGAGGATCAAAATTTTAAGGCAGACCTTATCACAGATATTTGAACATGTGTGTGCTTCCCTCAAAAATGTTGGAGAAACAGCCAAAAAAACCCCAAAAACCTCAAAAAGACAAATGAGCAAGGAAGTGTTGCCAAGCAAATTTTAAATGCAGTGGGAGCAGGGTTCCAAAGTGAGAAAGCAGCACACTGACTGCTGGGAAAACACCAACCCCACTGTGCACTGGGCCCCCATTCTAAGCTCCCTCCACCTCTCGGAGGTGCCCCGGGCCCGCACCTCTGCGCAGTGCCGGCTGCTTACCTGCCAGCACGTTCTGAATGCGGTCATAATGCACGAAGTTGTAGGTTCTGCTGGCGGCGGTGGGCTGGTCTTTGGGCAGCGTCTCCTTCAGGTGGACCTCCAGCCCATTCAGGGACGCCAGGCTACTGTGGTACTGCAAAGGGGCCGGGAGAGGGTCATGGCTGCAGAAGTCCCCTCAGCAGGCCATAGGCTTAGCCAATAAGCATCCAGAGATATCTGCGTTGCTAATGGGTTTTGCAAAAAGGACTCTGACCAGTATTTTTACCTGTTAATAGACAAGTACTAACTTCTGCCCTTATGTTCTAAAGCTTTTTCAAATTGTAGAAAACTCAAAAAATAGTGGTGAGCAGAAAAATATTTACATTTAAAAAGGAAAAAAAAAAGCCAAGAGAGATGGCCCATAATCTCACCATTCAGAATAGCCACTGTTAGCCCCTTGGTACATCTCCTTCTAGCCACGACCTTCCCACGGCCATGACCTTCCCACGGCCATGACCTTCCCACGGCCATGACTTCCCCACCCAGGCTGCACGTTTTCACAGCACAGCTGGCCGGGCCTACCCTCTAGTGCTTTTCAACTGGACCTGGGCTGAGAAATCCTCCACTGTGCATCCAGGATGGTGCCAGCCACGCACCACGCTTGGAAGGACTGAGACGTGTTGGTCAAATGGTTTTCTGTGCTCTGTGGTTCAGAGGAGGAACCCACTTGAGAAGACTGTCCAGGAGGTGAGGCCAAGCTCCTGTATTTTAAAAACTCTCCTAGGGAAGATGCATGTGCAGGTACAGCTGAGAACACGACTATACCATTCTATACGATGCTTTTTTTATAAATTAAAAATGGGATCCAGCCATAGATATTGATACTATAATAGTTTCGGAACCTAATGATATAGCATGAACGACTCTCTTCATCCTTAAACTATTCTCCTACAGTGTCATACTCTAAGGGCTGGGGTATCCTTTAGCTCCACTGTGGGTTTGACCAAGTAGGGAAGTCACATCCTGATGGACTCAGTCTGCAACGGGGTCTCCTGCGGCTCCCCTAGGGCTATTTCAGCCATAAGAAGGCCACTGTCCCCAGGCAGCAGATGGCTCCCAAGTGAGGCACATCCTGTCTCTGCCTGCTCCTAGCCAGGTGACCAGGGACAAGTTCCTGAATTTTCTGCACCTCTTGTTGTATTTTCATCTGCAAAAAGGCGATTGTTGAGTGGATGAAGTGCAGTAGCACATATAAAAATCCTTTGTCAACTCTAAGTGCCACCCTGAGGGACGGCATTTTTATAGAGTCAAGCAAATGAAAATGATCATTATGACAGAAGTGATATCTCTTTAACGAGCAGCACATATGACTGGTCTGTGGATTGACTATATTTTCAACAGCTTTGTAAAAAACAGTAAGTGCACATAAAAAGTACAAAATGCAAACAGAATGCTTCCTCGGTGAATGTCATGAAGCTTAAGTGTTATTGTTGGTAGTGTACTGCCCTTCATAAATTAGGTTTTCTATGTGAATGTCTTAGAAATGGTATTCAAAGGCAACAGGCTTGACACACGAGGTTTTATTTTATGCACTCATCTTTGTATCCTCAATGCCTAGCAGGGTACCGAGCTCCTAGTAGGTAGGTACTCAGTACATAGCTGCTAAACGAACAGATACACGAGCACACCCCTGGGCAAGCACATTCAACATCTGAGCTGTCTGGCTGAAACTGAGGTGCGCAGTGAAAGACGTATGCCCAGGAAAGACACGCGCACACGCGCACAGCTCCTGTTCAGATTCCTGGGACAGCCTAACCAGCACAGGGATTAACAGATGTGCGTGTGCACAAGCCTACACAGCTTCGCCATGAAGTCAAACCACGGCCTCACTGCAAGCTTCTGCCCTGGGGAACCTGGTAATAGACGTGTTCCCCATCTTGAGCCGGTGCCCAGAGGAAGGCACAATGGGAACTGAGAGGGAGACACGACAAAGCCCGACTCGTCCCTGTAGGCACTGAGCTCTGCTTCTGAAATCGCTGCCAACTTGTGCTCAAGGCAGAATCACTTAACCATAAACGCACAGTCACAGGATACATCAGATGATGTGCACGATATGTTACTGGTAACCCAGTGCTTTCATATATACCTGGGGTCGGCAAACTACGGCCCATGGGCCAAATCCGGCCCATTGCCAGTTCTTGTATAGCCTGAGAGCTAAGAATGGTTTCTGAATTTTTATACGGTTTAGGAAAAAAATTAAGAGTAATACTGTGACGTGAAAATTATATTAAGTTCCAATTTCAGTGTCTATTGGTAATATATTATTGGAACCCAGCCACGCCACTTATTCACATATTATCTATGGTTTTGTACTCCAAAAGCAGAGATGAATGGCTGTGCAAAGTGGGAAAGACATGCCGTGTGTTTCTTTACGTTAAAAGTTTGCCAACCCCTGATATATATTTGTATTACTACAAGCCAATCCTCACAACAGCCCTAGGAGGCCCGCAGCTGGGGCTAATGCCTGGATCCTCCGGCTTCCATCCATAGCGAAGTGAGTGGCTGGAAGGTCCAAGTGAGCCATAAGGTGCAGAAGAAACGATGCAGTAACACACATTCACCCAGGTCCATGGGGAGGGGTGCATTTTCGTATTTTAGGATAACACTCTTGCACTAATCTCAGGCCTCATCTACTATCCAGACAGCTCAACGTCCTATCATAGCCATGAATAACTGATGGGATCACTGTGTCTGAAGGTCAGTGAGATTATCTTGGGCTGTGAGCAGGAATGCGTGGCTCTATGCTGCCCCCTGGTGTGAGCCTCTTCTGTTCCCTCTGAACTAATCCTGGCTTCTCCTGGCTGCTCCCCTCTCTTCTGACCCTTCCACCCACCTCTCCGCCCTCCACCCTGGGCAAAGGTAAAGAGGTGCCCGTTGATTCACTGAAAGACAAGATGGCAAAATAATACCAGGGTGCCTTGGCAGTGTATAGCATAACCTAGGCGCCCTTTCAAGGGCATGTGCTCACTGTCACACTTGAGCTGTAGTTTACCGTTCTGCAGGGGACTGGCTTTTCTAGACAGCCGCGGAGGGCCCGGAGGGAAATCAGGTCTGGGACAAAAAGGCAAGAGCCGATCTCTCCCAAAATGACAAAGTAGGCGGCCTTTAGGTCTGGTCAGCCAACCCTGCTCTCAAACCAGCAAGCTGATCCAAGTTAGTCACGCCCAACTCTCTTTAGAAAAGACAAGCTTTCCTTCTTCCGTCAAGCTCCATTCTTTCCTAGGGCCTACCCAACACCAAACCCTACTCTACATGAAAACCCGTGAAGGCCACTGTCTTAACAACATGGATGGGCTGTGACAGATCGTGTGACAGGTCCATCTCAGGAGCCATGGAAGATAGGGCATGTCCCCTTTTCTTCACCTTCCCACCTATCATTCCAAGGTTGGGTCAGCGCAGGAGAGAGAGGCGGGGGCGGGTGGATGAGAAACAAGCAAGGATTCTGGACCCTCCACTTGCATTAGGTCTTGATTCAACGAGGCCCAGTGTTCTTGCTGGTAAAGTGGGAGTTACAGCGCCCGCCCCCAGAACTGCTCTAAGGCCTGGCTAAAATAACAGATGTCAGGCAGTCAGCATATAGTGAGCGTACAGAACATAACTGGATTCACTTCCTTTTCCAAGTGCTGCCTGAACTATTTTTTCTTTTCCTTTTTTGGGGGGAAGGTAAAAGAGAGATATGGTTTCCACTTTACTGCATCCAAACAGTGAGCCTTCCGAATAGCATGTCTACAGCTCAGCACTGAGCAGAAGAGGCCATGAAACCCAAGGCACTGGCAGGGAGCTGAGACGTGTAAAACTGCACTCCTGGGTCCCTGTGTTGTTTTAAGGAGGTAGAGCAGTCACTCCGAGCTATGGTGCTAGAGGGTAGAGAAGCAAACAAGCCATCACTCGGTGACACGTGACAGCAGCCTATGGAAAGGGGAGAGATAAGCAAAGCAGGTCCCCAGAGGCGCAGTCTCTCGCCTGGGGCTCTGAGCTAAGGATGCTGCCACCCCTTCGCTATGCTCCAAGGTGACTAGCTCATTTACGGAGGGTCACAAGCCCCGCATGCTAATGAGACCAGCTTAGAATAATATAGATTTAATAACAAAAACAAGGCAAGCCCCAGGACACCGTTCACCCTGCAGCAATTTCAACCTGCTATTCTTATTGCTACCACTTCCCTGCCAACAACAGCAAGGCTGTTACTATAGCAACTGCATCTCCAGGGTAGGCCCTGGAGAAGGTACCACTGGAAGTGGGAAAGGAGCTGGAATGGGTTAAGAGGAGCTTTCTGGAGGCAGTTAGGGTTTCAGCTGTCCCAGGCCCTCTAGGAAGGAGCCTCAGACCACCATGGTACAGTGGAGGGGCTATGGAGGGAAACGGGGGGGCTTCCAGAGAACTCCCAGCCCTGGCTGTGACATGTGCAGAGCGTAGATTCAGCCAACACAGATCTTAGAGCTGCCCAGGCTCAGAAGTGAGGCCGTCAGTGGTGGCGATGGCACAGCCACCGTGTGTGTGTGGTCACTGCGTGATTGCACTACATCTGGACGGACAGCGCTTGTCATCACCCCCACACGGCTGCGGAGGAACCAGAGGCTCAGGGAGGCAAAGACCTGTGTACACGATCACACAGCCAGAACCAGGACTCTGGCTTGGTCTTCCCCTGCCCGAGGCCTGCGCTACGAGCAACTACAAGAAGCAGGAAAGTCCAAGCTCTTCACTGGACTCGCCTCCCTCACCCCCACCAACCCAGGGAGACAGGCACTACCACCATCCCCGCCATATAAACAAGGACTTCTTCTTTTTTTTATTTTTTTTTTTAAGGAGGGCGCAGCTCACAGTGGCCCATGCAGGGTTTGAACCAGCAACCTTGGTGCTATCAGCACCATGCTCTAACCAACTGAGCTAACCAGCCATGCTTAAACAAGGACTTTTGCACAAGGTCACGCAGCAAGGCTGAGTCCTTGTCCCCTAGGGGAGCCCGTTCCCTGCCTGCCCACGTTCTAGAGGGACTGGGGCCGGTCTGCACAAACTCACCACCTCCTCGATGGCTGCGCTGTCTCCCAGCAGCGGCTCCTCAGCCAGCAGGGACAGAACCAGCCCTTTGACACTGTGAGTATAGAGGTTCTTGCGTACCAGTCCTCCACGGGATGCTGGTGTCAACCTGGAGCCAGTGCTGTCCGCAAAGGGGGCGTTGCCCAGAGAGTCAGCAGAGCTTGATTGGCATTCCAGGCCAGAGTCTGGGTGGTTCTCAGGTACCCCATCCACACACGGCTCCGTGCCTTGTCCCCCCAGGGGAAGCTTAGCTCCCCTCTGCCTCAAATCTAGGTGAGGCAATGACAATGGCCTGCTCCTTCTACTGGGGGCCTGGCTGCTGTCCCCGGGAAGGTCTTTGCGCTGCTCTAGGGCTCCATTCTGAGTAAGCTTGTCCGGAGCGGAGGGAGACAGCCCTCTGATGGCTGTGCCCACAGGCGGGGCCCTGGGCGGCCTGGGTTCCGGGTTGCCAGAGTCGTTGACGGACTCCTTGCTGATAGATTCCTTGAGACAAGGACCAGGGCCATCTGGGACACACACACTTGAGGTGAGATAACCTGAGGATGTTTCCGTTTCCTGAGCTTCTGGAATGTGGATTTCGGATAAGTCCACGTCCTCTTTCCCCCTGGACAAACCAGGCTCCTTCCCCGGGGAGCAGCCGAGACCAGGATCCTCGTGCCTGGCAGCGCTGTGCAGTGTTGTAGGCTGGATGCTCCCCAGGTCACAGCCAGAGAAGTGTCCATTCTCGCCCCTGCCATTCGACCGAGCGGCATCAGGGAGCCTGGGCCCGGGGCTGGCTGCCCACGTCCGGGCCGTGGATTCCTCAGGCCCGGGGGCATCGTCTGTCAGGGCCCCCTTTGGAAGGTGCCGGGCTGAGCACTCCTGGAATCTGGCTGGAGATGCAGGAGAGCTGGAGAACAAGATGTGAGGAGGGGCACGTTGAGTGGACACAGGGCCATGCCCTTCCCGCGGGGAGACTAAAGCACTACTTCCCTAAAAAGCAAGGCCACTGGTGACAAGTGGGTGCCTGAGGCCAGAGAGGCTAAGAGGCCATCATGGTCAAATCATGAGAGTAAAATTAAGGCTATGCCTGGATCACTTCCTAAAAACGGCAGGGCCCCTGGATAAAAGTCACCCACATTTGGAGACCTACTGTGAGTCAGGCCCTATGCCAGGTGCTACACGTACACTATTTCCAACCTTCACAATGAGCCCATGAAGGAGGTATTACCGAGTCCATTTTACAGATGAAAAAGTTGAGGCTCAGGGAAGGAATGGACTTGCCCAAGGTCACACAGCTAAGCAGCAGCAGATCTGGGATTTGAAACCCACACTCACGTCACTACGCTAGCTGCCTTTTATCTGTCCGCTGAAGTCCCAGAAGCCCCTTCCAGGGAAGAGCACAGAGAAGATGGTGCTAAGAAAGGAGGGGCTTGTTTGGATAAACCCACGTGAGGGAGTCCCAAAAGCAATGGTTTCAGATGAAGGCCCTGTGCTCCCCTTACCTAGTCATCTGCTCCCCTGGGAACTCAGAGAGACAGGTGGCTTCCTCTTCTGTCACGAAAACCGGGATGATGTGGACATTCGGGGGGAGCGCAACTCCTAGAATCACAAGGCAACATGGACAGGGTCCTCCCCTGGGCCAGAGAAGGCAGAGGGGCAGCACCTGTTCTGGGGTTGACGCATGCAACCCACAGGCCAGTCAAGTCAGGGAGCAGAGCTTTGGGGCACTCCTCAGCCCAGAACCAAAGCACAAAACCGTAGCCACAATGCCTGCGATCATCAAGGAAGAGCCCATGTGGGCACCTTCACGCCTGGCTGAGGAGAAGGGGGATGACTGGTGCAAGAAAATTTAGTGGCACTTAAAAATAAAAAAAATAAAAAGACAGAAGCTGGAAAAAAGCACTTCTAACTGATGACAGAGATGTGCCCCAACGTATGCTTCCAAACCAAACGGCCCTCTTGGGGCTGCCCCACATCCTGCCAAAGGGCTTCCTGGCAGCTGCCATTTCTCTTCCCCTTGCCTAATCAGGAGCCTCCGGAACCTGTGTGAGCAGTTTCATTATAGTGAGTTAAGGAGGGTCTGAAAACAGGGGTTTAAAAGGCGTGCCTACGCAATGCAATATACAGATGGTGTATTACAGAATCATATGCTTGAAACTAATATAATGTTATTAACCAGTGTCACCCCAATACATTTAATTTTAAAAAATGTGTCTGAAATCATGAGCTTTACAATTAGGAATTTGATGGGTAACTTTGTACTTGAAGGTTTCTCTACCTATTTGCATAATCTCACAAGATGAAAAACCACGTGGCATTATTCGGCCTTTCTCAGGGTTTGTACAGAGACAAGAGGCAACAATGCACCTCACTACTTACCACATTCCTGCAGGACATCCCCTGCTGTAGGTATTCTCTGAAAATAAACACACACAGAAGTTGGCGCTGGGTACCACATTCTCCTGACCTCACCATCAGGACTGCGCTGTGCCATCTGCCGCTCATAAAACTTCGCCAGGCCCAGAGCGCTTGTCCTCGCCACATGCCAATAGGAAAGCAGATGGAAGAAAGGCGCCCCCCAAAACTGCCTGCTCACCACCACGGCTGGGGGCAGGCGAGAACCTGGGCCCACACAGGCTATAGGGCAGCAGCCCCATCCCAACTCACAGCAGTCTTTATGTTCCAACTTCTCTGTTTCTCTCTCCCCTCTGGGAATGAGTGAGGGTTCGTGTTCTCTTTTCTACCTCCGGAAAACTCGTCTTCTAGAATAGCCGTGGCCCAGAACTCACACAAGTTCCATTATAACAAAAATGTGAAGGTCCGATGACCCTCGTGATAAAGGATTATATCTAAACAAAATGCCATGCCACATCTCTCATTTGATTCACACTCAAGGTGAGAAACCTGACGATTTTCTCAAAAGAGCTTTCCAGCCTTTTCAATCTAAAGGTTCCAAAAGGACCCACCAAAGCAAAACAAAAAAACAAACAAAAACTACTCTTCTAGCCAAAATGACTTTCACTCCTATGAAATGATACGGCTTTCTCTTCAAATAAGCTTACTCTAGACAAAAATTGTTTAAAAAAAAATCACATTAATTCCTTTACCTGCAAGCTACTACCATTACTATTGGGCATATTTTCCTTTAAGTCTATGCATTCTTTAATACTTTAAGACTGCATTATATAAAATCCTATTTTTCTTCTTACACAGTAACATACAAGTCCTGTCATGAAAACATCTTTAGCCATTTTACAATAAATGGCTGACTAAAATTATATGAAGCTTAAAGTGGTGTAGGTGAATTAATCATTTCCCTACTTTAGGCCAGCAATAGGCAAACCTTTTCTGTAAAGGGTGAGATAGTAAATATTTTCGGCTTTGTGGGCTATATGGTCTCTGTTGTAACTACTCAACTTGCTGTTGTAGCTTGAAAGCATCCAATAAAATAAATTTGTAGGCCATCATTTGCCAACTCCAACCACAGACATTTAAGTTATATCTGATTTTTCACTTTCATAAACCCTGTTGTTACAAAGTTTTGAGTTTAAATCTTTTTTAGCAAGTAGACGATTTCCTTATGATTGAATCCTAGGAAGCTGAATTACTAGGAAAAATGGAAAGGGCATCCACTCATCAAATAGTTTACCAGAAATGACACATCACCACCAGCGGGGAAGGAGCCTGACAAGAGTCCCATCATCGTTTTAAATGTCTGACTTGATAAATGCAAAGACCTAGCCTTCTGATATACTTAACCCTATAGCTTCATAAGCTAAGAATAAGTAAATAAAACAAAAGAAAACAGGACTAGAAGGAGGTACGCCAGATGCTAGCGGAGACTGTCTCTGCGCAGTCTAATTGTGGGCAATTTTATTCTCAATAAGCACGTATGGCTCCTTTTTCTTTTCATTATAAAAGCAATTAAACAAATATAAGATGGAAAGATTTTAAAAGTTTCTGATTTCCTTAGTCATCCTTGAGTGTCTGTCTCTAAATAGCCAACATTTCTTTGACATAAAGCCCATCCTCGAGGGAAGTTGAATTCTCATAGTTTCACTTGGATTGAAGAAAAACCCAACTATTCAAGCCCATCATGCGGAAAGAAACACTGTCTTCCAGCCTGGATGATGACGTCACTCTTGAGGAAAATCACTGATGGACCTGGGGTTCTAACAAGATTAAGGGGAGGTCTGCCGAGTGGCTCAGTTGGTTAAGAGCACAAGCTCTGAGCAACAGGGTCACCAGTTTGATTCCCACATGGGCCCGTGAGCTGCATCCGAGCTGAGCTGCCACTGAGCTGCCAAAAGGTGGCAGGATGGCTCAGCTGGTGAGAGCACGTGCTCCTAACAACAAGACTGCCGGTTCGACTCCCACATGGGATGGTGGGCTACGCCCACCTGCAACTAAGACTGAACATGGCACCTTGAGCTGAGCAGCGTGAGCTGCTGACCGGCGGCTGGATGGTGACTGGACTTGGAAGCTGAGCTAGCTGCGCCCTCCACAACTAAGATTGAAGGCCAACAACTTGGCTGCTCCCTTCCCCAATTCCCCAACACTGTTCCCCTTCCCCAATCCCCCAATAAAAAAATCTTTTAAAAAAAAAAGGGCCGGCCAAGTGGCACAATGGTCAAGAACTGGCTTGGGACGCCAGAGGGCCCCGGTTCGGATCCCACATATGAGGGCCAGTGACACTGCCCTCTACAGCTAAGATGTTGAATAACAGCTCAACCTGGAGCTGGGCTGCCATGAGTCGCCGGCGACGGCGTAGGCTGCAGCCCCTGTGGCAGTAGGTTGCCATGGGCTACCGTATGCAGCCAGCAGCCGCAATGAGCAGCCGTCCAGAAGCCGGCAACTGATCTGCCTCACCCGGGAAGAGCACAATGATGGTGCCAATGTGGGCCAGTGAAGCAAAGTCCTCCACAACTAGACTGAAGAACAAAAAAGACAGCAACTTGTCTGTTCCCCTTACCCCAATTACCCAGCACTGTTCCCATCCCCTAATTCCACAATAAAAATCTTTAAAAAACAAAACGAACAAACAAAAAAAACAGATTAAGGGGAACCCCCCCCCCCCCCCCAAGCTGCCCCATCCATCTAGCACTGGGATTAGCCTCGCCAGCAGCCACCTGGTGCAGAAGCATCCCAGACAGGTAGGTGGAGTTTACAATACCTGGTCCCGAGGTGCGGCTCGATGAAGCAGGACCTTGGCAGTGAGGGAGGGTGGGAGCTGGGTGCTGACAATCCTAGGAGGTCAGACACAGGACAATGACACTGTGAGAAGAAATACGCTGCAGGACTCTGGATTGAAAAGATTCCTAAATCCCCATGTTGGCCAGGATCTTGGGGACACAGCTGGTGAAAGTTTCAACTGATAAAGCCTTGTGGAGGGCACTCCGGCAATTTCCATCAAAATTTTAAATGTCCAAACCCTTTGACCCAGGTGGTACTAAGAAGTATGCCTAAAAATATTCGTTACAGAGAAAAATGGTAAAATTTACTTAAAAAAAAAATAAAAGAAAAAGAAAAAAAGGGGGGTGGGGTAAGCAATTTAAATTTCCATCAAAAAGAGAGTAATTCAATTAATCATGGCACGGTTACAACACCAAAAAATGTGCAGCTACTATGAGGCAGCCCACTACGGACTGAGAAAGAAACCTCAACTCTACACGTTACATTGAGGAACCATATGATCCCATTTACATAGACAGCAAAAATAAACAGAATCAATATACAGAAGGTGACAAAAAAATGTGCCAAAATAATGTATACACATTTTAAGAAAGGAAAAAAGGTATTAAAATTGTAATACTCAATATGTACCGATAAGAAAAGATGAATACGAGTCATGTGTATACACTTTTTTGGCAGCCCCGCTACACATATATGTGCACATGTGTGGAAACACCTAAGGAACAAAGGAAGGATGCACAGCAAATGCCAGCTGTGGGGATGGGCAGAGGGGGCGGGCAGTGGGGCAACTTTTAAATTGTGCTCTGTGTGTTTCTCTCTGGATTCAGTTTCTGACAATGAGAATGTGGTCCGGCATTAGGTATACAATTTAAAAATAAATTAGAAAAACAAAATAGGAAGAGAAAAATATTCCATCTTTGGCGGCCATGTCACCAGCGAGCCTGGAGGCACAAGCTGATTGAGAACCATTGCAATGAAAACGAGAAAGGGGATGAGGGGTCTAATGTGTTCAAGGCCATTGTGAACCAGGGACTACGCTCCGTCCTGCTACATCTGTCATCTCGTTTCCTTCTCCACAAAGTATCTCTGTTTCCCACAAGAGGAAACAGAGATCGAGCAACTTGCCCAAGGTCACACGGCTGGGAAGGAGAGAAGCCAGGACTGGGAACGCAGCCAGGAAGGCCCCCCGACCACTTCAAGCGCCTGGAGAAGGCTCTGGGTACACAGCACCAGCCCCGCCTGCCCCTGGGCTGTGAGGATGAACCCTCCATGAGGAGAGCGGCCTTGGAAGATGCGTGGAGTGGCTCTTAGGCACTCAGGCTCACAGAGAGGCCCTCCAACTATACATGAAAAGGTGTAGAGAGATCTTAGAGGCCAGCCAAGAGACAGACCCAGCCAAGAGGCTGGCGGGAGCCTGAGGAGAAGCACGAAGGCCGCTCTGCAGAGCTGAGCAGCACAGGCTCCAGGCCCCAGGCAGCAGGCGGGCAGCCATAGCAGGTGGCCACGCCCCCTCACTTACCAGGCTGGCTGCTGTGACCTTGGGGGTTTGAATTAGCACTGTGTAGACTGACAACTATAATGGCAAGCCCCATCCTGAGAATTACAAATATCTCTTTAAAACTGCCTTTTCTATTCCTAACTCTTTTCTGGACACTACAGTTTCCCATTTCCCAGCTTGGCTCAAAGACAGGAACCTACGCTAAATCAAATCTAAACGACCTCATGTTTGCCAAACCAGCCCCCTCGGAACTGGCCCGAGACGGAGCTCCTGCCTATGACCTGCAGGTGGCCATGATGGGGATGGTCAGGTCTGCAGCAGGGGAACGGGGTGGAGGGGAGGGACCTGGCGTTACTCACAGTCCTTTATAGAGGATGCAGCCAGCTAGAACGTGAGGGGAGCGCTGGCACGTCTGGAGGATGAGGGCCGCCTTCAGCAAGAGCAGGGGCTCCACCTGTGCAGGGCAAGATGTGCACCCACAAATTACCAAGCTTACAATCAGCAAGGAAGGGACTTTGCAGAACAGGTGGACAGGCCATAACCCAAGCCTGTGACACATCCGTGTAAAATCCGTGTCCTCTCTATACCCAGAAGTGCTGACACCACAAATGCCCAATTCTTGGAACAAGGAGTCCTCTCCAGAAGCTGGAGGTGCAGTGACTAGGGCATATGGCTATTCGGAGGACGAGGTAGACTGATGACCGGGAGCCCCTGACTATCAATGCTGAGACCAGGAGGCAGCAGGAGAGGAGAGCCTAGAGGTCTCACATGAAGGTGATGGTGCCGGGTGAAACCGCCACCCCCATCCTCTACCCTCTCTCTGAAGCACAAGTCCCCCGCGACACAGCTGGCTTGACGTCTGACCAGCTCCTGTAACTCTATTCTATTACATAAAGTGCAAACATCATGATCTTTCACTCGGGGAAATACGCCTCAGTTCCACATTCCTTGTAAGGAGTCAGTTGTCCGAAATTCCTAAAAATACCAGAAAAGGATCTGAACCTTGTCAAGAATGGCCAGCAATAACCAAAAATCTCTTCCTATTTCCTACCTGCCAGCTAGAACCTGCGAGCGAATACCCATTAGCTGTTACAACTGAGCATTAACAGAGCCAAGCTTTGGAGCTGCTGCCACGTGAAGTTTATTCTTTCCTGGCCTCAAGATAGCGCCCAGTCCCAGGCAGCCACTCTGTAAGGCTCTGGGGCTGACTTTCAGAAGCCCTCCAAACAGGAGCAGGGAAAACCCAGCCCCATTTCCAGCAGAGTCACGGTGTCACATCCCTGTTAAAGGGACACCACTAGCGACCGCAGTGAGACCCAGTCCACACATAACAGAGGGCTGTCACCACAGAATGGGTCTCATTTCCTGAGAGTCAGGGCGCAGGTGGGCGGTTCTTAGGGGCCACAGGCTTGCACCTCCCTTTGGCCCTCTGACAGTGAGGATGGGATGTTTACCAAGATCAAGGCTACAGAGCAACAGGCAGCACAGGCGGTCAGGCTAGCCACACAAGCAGCCGACATGTCACCAAATGCCACTGGCGAATGGACTGGCTTAAAGAGACAGAACACTTCCCACCCGCCCTCTCCCAGATGGGGCGACCTTGTTTTTAAAACGTTAGCACTGGGCATTTTTGATGTCAAGAATAATTAAATCATATTCATATCAAGAGAAAAAGGGACCTTCAGATCGCTGAGTTCAATGTCCCCTCTGGGCATTAGCAAAATAGCAATACCCTTACCGAGTAATTACTTTGTGTCAGTTAGGTATTGTCTCATTTCATCATCAAAACGGTTCTGGGAGGCAGGTATGGTGACACCGTTCTATGGTTAAGGTGAGTGAGGTTTTGAGAGGTGACCTGACTTGTCCAAGTTCACACAGCTAGTGAGGATCATGACAGAATTTGAGTGCAGGTCTTAACAACCACCCTGCCTGAGAAGTGACACATTCCAGTCACCTCTCTTGAAATATAGTTCATTTAAAGGGGGAAAGAAAAAAGGGTCCGGAAGCTCTATTCCTATACATGAAAAGAGTAAGGGGGAGGCAAATGTTACTTTAGTTCGGTCCAAGTTCCAGAGGGAAGTGAATATCTTATGCAGGTCACTGGTGTTCTTCAGAATTTGTTCAATAAAGGTGTCCCACTCGGCACTCAGTTCCTCCTGAGAACAGTTCTAAAACAGAAACAGCCTGAGGTCAGTATCTGAGATTCTGAGACGCACACTCTTCGCCAAGGATCCCAACTGCTACAAAAATGATTCCTGACACAGGAAACTGGCTAGGAGGGAGGGCGTGTTTTAAACTTCCTACACACATGAGACCTCCCCTCCTACCCTGATAACCTACCCACTGCAGGCCCAGATCACCTGCAGGGGGAGGGTGGCAACCAGGCCCAGATCTTTCTACCCGTCCCAGGGAGAAGGAGATGGAAATAGTTAATACCTTGGTTTGCGAGCATAATTCGTTCCGGAAACAAACTACTGATATTGCAAGACATCGCTCGTTTACCAAGTTAAAATGTATTAGAAATGTTTGCTTGTCTTGCGGAACACTCGCAAACCAAGTCACTCGCAATCCAAGGTTTTACTGTACTTGGCATGAATATGACCTATGCCATTGGAGTACAAAGGCATCTGAGAGAGGCTCCAGGGATCCTTGACCTTGTCCCTGGATGTGATGTGTTTATGTAAAGTATAACAGACCCCAGAGTAAGTGCTGTGTTTGGGCAATATCAGTTTTGTTCAAGAGGCCCCACGTAAGCCTTGTCAATGCTATCCTCGTACCTTGTAAGCCAGAGAAACAGGTCCATTGTAAAAATTAAAGAAGCCGATGAGCTGACCCAGAAACTGCTGGCAGCTGACATCAGGGAGCTCCACAGCACAGCCCAGCACCTGGAAAAAGGGAACCCAGGAAGACAGGCATTTTCCTTTGTTCTGAGTCCAAGGCCGGAATCCTGGCATTCAGGGCTCGCTATAGCCAGACTTCCCGGCCGACAACACTGATCACCTGCTGCCTGGCCCCACACCCTCTGTGCCAGCCAAGCTGGTCTCCACTGAGAACAATGTACTCGTGTTGCCCAGCCTGAAATGCCCTCCTTCTGTTCATTACCAGGGCTCTCCCCTCCCCTTCAGGGCCCACCAGATTCTAGCACCTCCACGGTGCCTGTTCTGATCCCTCTAGCCAATGCTGACCTCTTTTCGGACCCCTTGCAGTGTTAGGACTGTTATTTGGACACTGAATGTTTAACATGGGTTTCACTGCAAACACTGGACTCAAACTGTTTCATCAGTAGCCATCTCGTCTCTCCAGCTGGACAAAGTGCTTTCAGAACAGAAAACGACTGAATCATCATACAGCTCTAGAGCTCCGAAATGCTGAGTATAGTGTTTAGTTCCGCAGAAGATAAATACTTGCTCAGTTAAAAACTAATCTGGCCATATGTGTAAAGAGCCTGAAAAAAGTTCATATTCTTTGACTCAGTAACTCTACCTCTCGTATATTTCACCGATACGAATGACACTCTAGAACAGGCAGAACTAATCTGTGGCAGAAAAATTCACAACAATGGTTGCATGAGACGGCGGGGGTGGTTATAATTAACTGGGCAAAGACAAAAGAGAACTTTCAGGAGTGATGCTAATATTCTGTATCTTGATAGGGATTTGTGTTGAAAGGTGCACCATTTGTCCAAAGGCATCAGATGGTACACTCATCCTTGTGTATTTCACCATATATAAATTTAACTCAAAAGAAAAGAAGAACCGCAAATATTGAATGCTCATTAACATTATGCACGATGAGGTATTTGGAGCTGGGCTGGGAGGTGGGGAGGAATATACTAATGTATACAACTTTGAAAAGCATTAAAATAAAAACTGGATTGATAGGAAGATAAAGGGATGAATAAATATGTGATAAAGCAACTATAATGAAATGTGCATTGCAGAATCTAGGAAGTACAGCTGACTCTTGAACCATGTGGGGGTCAGGGGCACCGACACCCCATGCAGTTGAAAATCCATATATAACTTTTGACTTCGCGAAAACTTAACTACTAATAGCCTACTGTTGACCAGAAGCCTTACCAATTAACATAAACAGTCAATTAACATGTATTTTATGTTACATGTATTATATACTGTATTCTTACAATAAAGAAAACTAGAGAAAAGAAAATGTTATTAAGAAAATCATAAGGAAAATACATTTATGATATTTATTGAAAAAAATCCATGTGTTAAGTGAACTCACACAGTTCAAACCTGTGTTGTTCAAGGGTGAACTGTATGAGTCTTCAGTGTCAAGTTCTTCCAACTGTTCGCTATGCTAAAACATTTTCATAAGATGCTGCAAACAATACCTACAAAGCTGAATATATTTCCTCATACTTAAACATCCCTTCACCTTGGGAGTCATTTAAAGTAAGTGTGGGGGGCCGGCCGAGTGGCGCATTGGTTAAGAGCTGGCTTGGGACGCCAGAGGGCCTCGGTTCGGATCCCACATATGAGGGCCAGTGACACTGCCCTCCACAGCTAAGATGCTGAACAACAGCTCAACTTGGAGCTGGGCTGCCGTGAGTCGCCGGCGACGGTGTAGGCTGCAACCCCTGCGGTAGTGGGTTGCCATGGGCTACCGTGTGTAGCCAGCAGCCAGCAGCCAGCGTGAGCGGCCAGCAGCCGCTGTGAGCGGCCGTCCAGAAGCCGGCGACTGATCTGCCTCGCCCGGGAAGAGCGCAATGATGGTGCCAACTTGGGCCAGTGAAGCAACATCCTCCACAACTAGACTGAAGAACAAAAGCACAGCAACTTGTCTGTTCCCCTTCTCCCAATTCCCCAGCGCTTTTCCCATCCCCCAACTCCCCAATAAAAATCTTTTAAAAAAAAAGTAAGTGCGGGCATGGGAAAATTGCACTTTAGAGTAGATGGTACTACCAGCTGTAAAGAAATGGTTTTTCTTTTTTCTTTTTAATGTTCTTTGAAACCTAGCATATGTGCATCAGTGTCATAAGAGTTTGTGGGTCATTTGCCCAGTAAGTGTGGGGAGTAGAGGGAAGCAGAGAGAGTATAAAGAAGAAAAGATGGGGATTAAAAACTCAATTTGCATCACAAAGAGGATTTCCGTAGGCTGGCTTAATTAAGTCTTTCAAAGGAGAGGAGAAACCAGCCAGGTGCAATGCAGGATATGTCAGAAATGTTTTGGAGAGCACTCAGTTACATGGCACCTGCGGAGAGTGACACAGGCACTGAGGATGATCCTGGACAAAGCACATGGGGACAGGGGAGGAGAATGTAGGCTCGAGAGCCACAGAAAGCATGACTTTCTAAACCTCATCATCACAATTCTTATCACCAAGACAAATGAATCGTGGTAGAGGGGACACTGTTGGCACTGGTTCTGCCTGTGAAACTTACCCAAAGGTAATCTCCGTCAACCTTTATGGCGAACTTAAGTTTCCGCAGACGAATGAGGGTGGGAGGAGAGCCGGAGATGTCTGAAATACAGTGGACAACTCCAGCAATCTGTCCACAAAGCAACTCCTGTTGGTCAAGCAGGGTCTATGGGAAAGGAGCAAATTCCAGACAGGAAGCTGAAACTGTTGACTCCCATGTCCTTCCAAAGAGCAGGGGCTGGCGCACGATACAGCTGGCAGGCCAGAGCTAGTCGGCAGCCCGTTTCTATACGGCCCATGCACTAAGGATGGTTTTTATATTTTTTTAAGGGTTGTCAAAACAACAACAAAGGATACGTGACAGAGACCTCAGGTGGCTTGCAAAGGCCTAAAATACTCACTTTGGCTCTTTTTAGAGAAAGTTTGCTAACCCCTGCCCAGATGAATGAACAGTCACAGAATACCCACAGTGAACACATAAGGTAACTGCACAAAACTGCATTTTTGTTCCCAGGATTATATCCTATAATTAAACCCATGTGCCTGATGGGTAGAAGCATGAGCCTTTCATCCCTATTCAAATCCCCCGCAGAGCGGCCAGAGCAGCCTAGGTTAATCCCAATTATCCAAGTCAGAGGGTAATCACATGAGCGAATATACAGACCTCCTAATCGATCTTAGCATCAACTCAGCAGTGGCCAGGCTTTGTGTAATGAACAGAAAATGCATGCCCCGCCTATGGAGAATTCTTGCCTCAAAGAACTGAACTGGAACCTAATCAATGCTCTAGATCTTAGTAACTACAGGAAATACAGCAGGTAGAAGACACTAAATGACACCACCACGCGGAAGTCATCAGACAAATCTAGGGCAGGGGCCTCATACTCTACTGCACAAATGACCTGGTTTCTTCAGTAATTCAGGGGTATAGGGGCAAAGGAGGAGTGGGTGAGGAGTGTTACACAGTAAGAGAGACTTAAAACACAAAACCACCAGATGGAATATGTGGACCTTGTATGGACCCTGATTAGGAAAGAGAGAGAGAAAGGCGGAAGGAAAGATGGAAGGTGCGTCTAAGTAACATCTAAGGTAATAAGGCAAAATCTGAATACACTGTCAGATGATAGTAAGTAATTATTGTTACTAATGATTGTAACTTTTGTTAGGTATGATGTTAAAAGCCCTTTTCATTTAAAGATGTCACTTGATAAAAATGAGATGACACAAAGTCTAGGATTTGCTTCAAAATAGTCCAGAAAAAAAAGAGGGGAGAGAGGTTAGGTTAGGTCATATGTAAAACTGGCAGTATTAACTGTAAAAGCTGGTGACAGGCATACGAGGGTTCATGATGCTCTCCTTTCTACTTTTTATATGTTTGAATAAGTTTTATTCCTTAAATGAGCCAATCAAAAATTGGGAGCAATGGGGGCAGACAGAAAAGCATCATGGTAACAGAGAGCTAGAGACGATGGAAGAACGGAGCTGCCTGGGAATTTTAAGGCCAGGACAAGAATGGGTACAGCTAAGAAGAAGAGAGTGGACATGTCAACTGCCTAGGTTATCCAAAGGAATTGTCCCAATATAAACTCTATCCTTTTGAAAAGCTGTCTGTTTTGAGGCGGTGGGATCTCCACAGAACAATGACACGTAAGTGGCTTACCTGAGACGGATAAAAATAACAAATGCCAGCTCTTGTTGGATCACCTTCTTCCTTTACCTTTGAACCATCATAAAGGAAAAAATAGTTCCACCTGGCAAGAGAACAGAATGGAGCCATGTTTCCTTTCATTCAGCGATCAGGGCGTTTGAAAAAGTTTCCTAGTCAGTTCCCAGCCCGAGAAGGGCTCATTACTCAGTGTTTGAAAAGCCTTCTCGTGGCCCCAGAGAAGGAACCCAGTGGCTCCAAATAGATAAAAACCATAAGTGCAGTTGAGTCAACCTAAAAATATGCCTCTATCCAGCTGTCATACCATCTGTGTGAAAGACAGACGAGTAGCTAAGGAAAGACGGGGCGCCCACAATGACGCCTCTTATTTGAGATGCTGAACCTTAACTATCTTACCACATGGATTGGGGAGCTGTCTTTTAAGTCTCTGAGAACAAAATAAGTTAGGGATGTCTCAGATGTACTCCTGCTGGGCACGATGATCTCCTGAATTATCCCTTCGACCAGGAAGTGATCGATTCATTTAACAAACTTCACTGAGGGCCTCCAATGGGCGCTGCCTTTGCCGGCCCTGGGGCCACTGTCTGTTTCAATGCAGGATAGTGAGTCTTTAACGGGACAAACAGGGGCCTGTGAGAGTTCACAGACAAGGACCAAACCCCTCACTGCCTGTCAAGACCTTATGAGGATAAATCATACATGAACTCTCATCCAACTTCTGATCCCCAGAGGAATCTCTCTTCACAATTTCCACAGCCCCCACCCTCCCTTCTTCCTGACGGTCTTAGTCTGCTGTGCAGTATAATTGTAATCACCTCTTTAAGACCACAAAGCAAACTCCACAAAGGCTGGACCTGAGTTTTACTCCTAAACCTCTGAAAGCACAGCTATCAGGCTGTGCTTGGTAGGAGGAGCTGTGACCAGTCACTCTGTCACCTGCGCTCTTCTCCCAGGAACCCCCTTCCACCCTCTCTGGCTCCCACCTTATCTTCCTGATGACAAGCATTAACTCAGTTTCCAGTACAGTCTGGTTTCCTGAGTTCCACATGTGTCACTGGCTGCAGGACAAGTCCAGGTCAAAAAGCCTTAAAATTGGTTCAAATTCAATTCAGAAACCCCACTGCCGGGCCCCCTCCTACCCTTTCTGTATGTTCTCTGGGTGAAAGCAGCCCCCCTCTTTCACATACACATAAGAAAACCTGGGTGTCATTTTGAACTGCCCCATCTTTTTGACTTCCACACACATGCATCTGTCACTAAACCCTGCTCTTTCTATGTAAACCATGCCTTCCCACGCTCATCTCCTTGATTAACGTTTGCTGAACCAGATTATGAGAGAGGCTTAACCCATTTGGGGTTGAGAAAGCAACGGAGCTACAGGCAGACATTATGTAAGACCCTTCGAGAGACAAACTGAAGGCCGGCCAAACATCTCATGGTGTAATTCTGTAGTGCAACCATTTCTGTCTTTCAAAAGTGAAGATTCCAATGCCCACAATATGATCAAAGCCACATGCATGATGCAACCAACCATGCTTATCTTTTCTACCATCTACCAGTAATGCTGGACTCGTTTGAACATAGCAAGAGGCTTGCAAGTTTACAGCACGTCTGCTTTGGTGAGAAATGGTTCATATGCTTGATTCAGCTGCTCTGAGGGAAATAGCTTTTTATTTTTCATTAATAAAATCAAGGCAATCTGGCTTGGCAGGGGGCAGGTGGGGGGGGGCTGCAGGTAACCCCAAACATCTGTCCAGCAGCCTGGCAGGAACTAAACCGCGACAGGCCTTGCTACTCACCAGGAGGCTGACTTCGTCTCTGTTGAGGTGGAGGCGGCCATTTACATCCCAGTCGCCCTCATTCTCTTTATTTGGGTCTTCTTTTCTAGTTCTGGCTTCTTTCTCCCCAGCAGTGACCGTTCCTCTGTGTCCCTGTTCCTATGAATCCGGATGTGGGAGGTTTGGGTGTTTTTCAGTCACAACTGTTACTTGCTTAGTTTTCACTCAGCATGAAAGTGCTACTTCCCTCCTTGAAGGCCCTCAGGTCCATAAATACCTCCATGCCTCTTAAAACTCTGGGAGAGGATATAATAAAGCAAGAGAATTCTACAGAAAAAGTCAGATCCTCTAATGTGGTTCTGTGAGCATCAGTTCCCTGGCTCTCTGCAAAATTAAGCTCTTCAAAAAACCGTTCGACAGGAAAGCCCAACAGGGGAGGTGCACGATGAAGGCGGTGTTCTGGGGGTGATTTCTTATCTGATAGCTTGTCTGGTTCAAAGCGATTCCGGAGGTTCTTTTAAAAGTTTTGAAGCTTCCTGTTAAACATCAGTGCCTTGGCACTAAAATAAACACAAGATAGATTATTTCAGAAACCCACGAGAGAGCATGTGACTCAGCAGGGTGAAGCAAATGGTATACTTCAAAAGAGCTTTCTAGAAAACTGTTTCAAAACAAACAAACAAAAAAGATAGGGTAGCAGGACTTCAGAGTAAATCCCTTAGTTTCTTGAACAGTGATAACTCACAGAAGATAAAATTAAATAACTAGGGTGAAGCTCTGGGTGTCAAGGACATCTATACAAATGAGGCAGTTGCTGTAGTGAGACTGGAACTCAAATGAGGAACTGTCACCTTGACAGCCCCAAAGTAATGTACCGAATTCTGGAAATGGGCAAGTTTCCAAAAGACAAACAGAATTTATCAAGTGGCTGTCAAACTCCAAGAAGAAAGAGAACTCAGCTACCATGGAATTTCAGAATTTAAAGGGACGCTTGCATCATTGACTCTAATCCTATCTCTTGTGCTCATCTTCAAAAATGACCTAGATGGTCTCTGGCTTACTCCCTTCAGAGAGAGACAGTTGTGTTAAATTTATCCTTGCATGAAGCTCAAACTGTCCTCCCTGTCACCTCCACACACCGGTCTGCATAACGCTCTCCAGGAAAATAAAACACGGTTTAATCCTTCCACAAGACAGCCCTTTGCTCCCTCCAAGTGTATGTCTACTATCACTTTCTCCAAGATTAACGTCCCCAGCAACATGGTTTCAAAATGCTTTCTCACCATCTGGCATCCTCCTGGGGGAACACAACAGAGTTTTTTAAAGCTCCTTTGGTAGATCAAAGCGTCTAGAAGGGACCCCACTGAATCTCTGAAGGCCTGTACAATCTGTCTTTTCCGGGCTCTAGATATCTTGAGGTCGGCCTCCATAGGGTCCCAGTAATGGTATTCTCTGAATCATATTTAGATGCCTGTGGAGAGGCATCTAAGCTCTTGGAAGCAGGACAGCAGCCTGAAACCCTTTGTCCCTTGTTTCCACAGGACTGGGCCCTACACTGCGAAAGGTCCAGTCTCTTATCTCTGAAAGGTCCGGAAGAGGCCGGAAATGGCCTTGGGGTAGGGAAGGTGTTGGGATGAGTCCAGAGAAGGGTCTGACAGCCTAGGAAGTGGCAGTAACAAGCAGGGGGAGTCAAGAGTGGCTGGTAATGGCCTGGGGGTGGAATGGGGGGGTGGGGGTGGGGGTGAAGGAAGTGGCCTCAAGTGGGTCTGCAAGGCGCTAAAGTCTGCAAAGAGCCGGGAAGCCATCGGTAACCTTCTAGGGCATTAGGAGGTGTCTGGCCTCAGCTCCAGGGTACTGGGAATTGGTGAGCAAAGGTGCGGGGGTCAGTCTGGGCCCGGTCACGGCGCCCAGAGGCCGCGATGAGGCGCTCTCAGCCGCGCTCCTGCCCCTCGGCGTCCCCGCGCCGCCCACCCGCCAGCGTAGCCAGGCAGCCCGGGAATCGGGGATCGGGACCCGGAGTGTGGGCGGCAGCGGGGCGCCAGCGACTCCCGCCCGGTACCTACGCGCGCGGCGGAGAGGCCACAGGGTCACGCGCCGCCCGCGCCTCCTGCCTCTTAAAGTTTCCGCAGAGCTGGCGAGCGGCGATGACGTAGCCCGGGCGCGCCGCGCGCCCACGACGTCTGGGGCCAATGGCGGCTGCGGCGCTGGAACCCTGGCAAGTTGCGGCTCCGCGGAGAAGGCGCTCTGCCGCTCGACGTCCGCGGCCCAGGGAGGCGGTGGCGGCCCGGGGCCCGGAGGCGGAGCCTGAGGTGGACGGCGAAGTTGTGCTTCGTCGCATGCAGGAGGCCAGGCGAGTGTGGGGTCGGCCCTGGGTCCGAATCTTCACCCCTGTGGGAACCTCTCCGAGCTTCAGACTCTCCATATGTGAAGTGGGAATAACTGCAAAACCTTTACGGGGTTATTGTGAGGACTTAACAGAGGCAACGAGTTCATTACAGACTGGATTATAGTAAGCACGCAATAAAAGTGGTCATTGCCCTTACTGCAATTACAGCTGCAAGTTATGTAATCTCTGCCTCAGTTTTCTCATCTGTGAGGTGGGCATGAAAATAGTACCCAGATAGGCTTGCTTTAATCATTCAGTGAATTAGTTAATGCAAACCATTTCATACAGATTAATTTTATGTGCTCCCCGCCCCCAGAATTAGCGTCAAGAGGCAATGGTGGCTCAGGTTACCACTGAATAAAAATTAGTTGGCTGACCAGCTGACGGACGCTGAGAAAAAAAGCTGCAGTGACTTTTTCTCGGACCTCAGAAGATGCCAATAACGATGAGCGTGCCTGTGTATGGAGAACTCTTAAGGCACTTTCCATACACCTTTTACTCCTCAACTTCTTCATTATCCCCCCAGGAGCTTCCTACTTCTCTCTACCTGCACCCTCAAGTGTGGTGCAGTCCCCACTACCCTGATAGAGAGCAGCCCAGCACTTTACATGCTGATGTCCTGTGCACACCAGTTTACAAAGCACTCCCTGTACACTAGAACCCTCCTTTACCCTCTGTGGGGAACACCAGGGCAGCCTCTGGGCAGCTTTTTTCAATTCTTTCTACCCTCTGAGTTCCTGAACAGTGGCTTATGGCTTGTCAGTTCAAATCCAGTTCACTTTTTCTTTTAACAAATTTTTTTTTCTTGTGATGAGAACTTTTTAGATCTCTTACCAACTTTCAAATATGCAATACAGCATTATTAACTATAGTTGCCATGCTGTACATTACATCTCCTTGTCTTACTTTACAATTGGAAGTTTGTACCTTTTGACCCCCTTTACCCATTCTGCCCACTCGCCATTCCCCTGCCTCTGGCAACCACCAGTGTAATCTGTTCTCTGTGTTGATGAGCTCAGTTTTTTTATATTTGCTTTTTTTATTCCATATATAAGTGAGATTGTACAGTATATGTCTTTCTATGAATAGTTTCGATTAACATAGTGGTCTCAAGGTCCATCCATGTTGTTACAAATGACAAGATTTGATTCTTTTTATGGCTTAATAGAGTGTGTGTGTGTGTGTGTGTGTGTGTGTGTGTGTGTATGGCCAAAAAAAGTATACGCATTTTAATAAAGGAAAAAACTATTAAAATTGTAATACTCAATGTATACCCATAACAAAAGATGAATACAAGTCACATTTGACTTCTGCAATGACAAGAGGTGCTCAAAATGGTTCCCATCAGCGTCCAGACACTTCTGATTACAGTGAACTACTACTGCTTGAGCAATGCTGACCACAGTGTCCACTTGTATACATGTTTTTGACACTCCTGGTATGGGGTTTATTTCTGGGCTCTGTATTCTGTTCCATTGATTTGTGTCTGTTTTTATGCCAATACCATACAGTTTTGATTACTATAGCTATGTAATATAGTTTGAAATCAGGGCACATGATACCTCCAGCTTTGTTCATCTTTCTCAAAATTGCTTTGGCTATATGGGGTCTTCAGTGGTTCCATACAAATTTTAGGAGTATTTATTTTATACCTGTGAAGAATGCCATTGGAATTTTGATAGGGATTGCATTGAATCTGTAGAGTGCTTTAGGTAATAGGGAAGTTTTAATAATGTTAATTTCAATCTATGACCATGAACTATCTTTCCATTTTTTTGCATCTTCAATTTCCTTCAACAATGTCTTGTAGTTTTCCATGTGTATGTCCTTCACCTCCTTTGTTAAGTTTATTCCTAGGTATTGTATTCTTTTGTTGCGATTGTAAGTGGGATAGTTTTCTTCATTTCTCATTCTGGTATTTCGTTGTAGTGTATAGAAATGCAACAGGTATTTGTATATTGATTTTTTATCCTTCAACTTTACTGAATTCGTTTATTCTGAATTTTTTGGTGGAGCCTTTAGGGTTTTCTGTATATCTGCAAATAGTGACATGACATCTTTTATTTCTTTTTCTTGCCTAATTGTTCTGTCTAGGACTTCGAGTACCATACTGAATAACAGTGGTTAGAGTGGGTATGGTTGTTTTGTTCCTGATCTTAAAGGGAAAGCTTTCAGTTTTTCACCATTGATTATGATGCTAGATGAGAGTTTGTCATATATGGCCTTATTATGTTGAGATACTTTTCTTCTATAGCCATTTCATTCAGAGCTTTTATCATAAATGCATGTTGTATCTTGTCAAATACCTTTTCTGCATCTATTTTTTTTTTTTTTTAGATTTTATTGGGGAATTGGGAGGAGGGAACAGCATTGGGGAATTGGGGAAGGGGAAGAGACAAGTTACTGTCCTTTTGTTCTTCAGTCTAGTTGTGAAGGACATCGCTTCACTGGCCCATGTTGGTATTATCATTGCGCTGTTCCCGGCTGAGGCAGTCGGCCGCTGGCCATTGGACAGCTGCTCACGGCAGCTCACAGCAGGTCACTGCAGCCCCACTGCAGCCTACACATCACCAGCGACTCACAGCAGCCCAGCTCTAGGTCGAGCTGTTGTTCACCATCTTAGCTGTAGAGGGTGCAGTGTCACTGGCCCTCATGTGGGATCCGAACCGGGGCCCTGTTGCTCAGAGCTGGCGTCCCAAGCCAACTCTTAACCAACTCACCACTCAGCCGGCCCTCCTCCTACTGACTTTAGACTTTGTTTTTCTTTTTCTAGTTCCTTATGGTGTAATGTAAGATTGTTCAAGGTTTTTCTTGTGTCTTGAGCTAGGCCTATATTGCTATAAACTTTCCTCTTAGTACTAGTTTTGCTGTATCCAAAAAATTTTGGTGTGTCATATTTTCATTTTTATTTGTCTCTGTGTATCTTTTAATTTCTTCTTTTATTTATTCTTTGACCCAATAGTTATTCAGTAGCATGTTGTTTAATCTCTACATATTTGTGATTTTTCTAGCTTTCTTCTTATAGTTGATTTCTGCAATAGTTTCATACTATTATGGTCCAAAAAGGTGCTTGGTATGATTTAAATCTTCTTAAATTTATTGAGACTTATTATTATTATTTTTAAAATACTGTTTCTTGCATTGAAGCTCTTTATTTATTTATTTATCTATTATTTTTTTAAGCTGAGCCATCCTGCCACCTGTTGGCAGCTCAGCGGCTGCTCAGCTAGGGCTGGAATCGAACTGCTGTTGCTCAGAGCTCAAACTGTTGAGCTAGCTCTTAACCAACTGAACCACTCAGCCGGCCCTATTGAGTCTTGTTTTGTTTCTCAACATATGGCCTATTCTTGAGAATGTTGCATGTCTACTTGAGAAGAATGTGTATTCAGTCATTTGGGGGTGGAAAGTTCTAAAAATATCTATTAAGTCCATCTGGTCTAATGTATCATTTAAGGCTGATGGTGCCTTGTTGACTTTCTGTCGGAATGATCTATCCATTGGCATAAGTGGGGTATTAAAGTCTCTTACTATTATTGTAAAACTGTATTTCTCCCTTTAGATCTGCTAATAATTGCTTTATATATTTTGGTGCTCCTAGGTTGGGTGCATATATATTAATAAATGTTATGTCTTCTTGATGTATTGTCCCCTTTCTCATTATAAAATATCCATATTTGTGTCTTGTTAACTTTTTTTTTTTTTGTCTTGAAAGCTATTTTCTCTGACAGAAGTATGACTACACTCTCTTTTCTCTGGATATCATTTGCTTGGAGTATCATCTTCAACCCCTTCACATTGAGCCTGTTAGTCTTTGTATCTGAGATGGGTCTCTTGAAGGCGGCATATAGTTGGATCTTGGTTTTTTTTTTTTAGATTTTTTTTTTAATTGGGGAATTGGGGGAGGGGAACAGACAAGTTGCTGTCGTTTTGTTCTTCAGTCTAGTTGTGGAGGACATTGCTTCACTGGCCCAAGTTGGCACCGTCATTGCGCTCTTCCTGGGCGAGGCAGATCAGTCACCGGCTTCTGGACGGCCGCTCACTGCGGCTGCTGGCCGCTCACGCTGGCTGCTGGCTACACACGGTAGCCCATGGCAACCCACTGCCACAGGGGCTGCAGCCTACGCCGTCGCCGGCGACTCATGGCAGCCCAGCTCCAGGTTGAGCTGTTGTTCAGCATCTTAGCTGCGGAGGGCAGTGTCACAGGCCCTCATATGTGGGATCCGAACCAGGGCCCTCTGGCGTCCCAAGCCAGCTCTTAACCATCGCGCCACTCGGCCGGCCCTGGATCTTGTTTTTGAATCCAGTCAGCTACTCTGTGTTTTTTGATTGATGAGTTCAGTCCATTCATATTTAGGATGACTACTGATATATGATAACTTTTAGCTTTTGTTTTCTGGTCGTTCTGTATCTCCATTGTTTCTTTTTCTTTGTGTTTATGTCTGCTATTTTAGTTTTTAATGTTTTGTATCTCATCTTTGGATTTTTGTTTTGTGGTTACCATGGAGGTTTACATAAAATGTCTTATAGATAAAATATTCCTTTTCCTTCTGATAGCATCTTATCTTCATTTGCCTATATAAGTTCAGTTCCTTTTCTCCTCTTTTATGTTTTCTTGTTGTCACAAATTATCCCTTTTTATCTGCTTTTATTACCAAATTGCAGTAGCTATAGTTACTTGTAATGCTTTTTTCCCTCTAATTTTATGTTATAATTCAGTGTTTTACCCTATCTGAAATAGAGTTGCAGTTTCCTACTTTTGTCTGTGACCTTACTCAAAGTTTTGTATACTTTTGTCTTTGCATTTCAGGTAGAAGAGCTCCTTTCAATATTTCTTGTAACACAGGTCTTGTGGTGGTAAATTTTCTCAGCTTTGTTTGTCTGGGAAAGCCTTTATTTCTCCTTCATGTCTAAAGGATAACTTTGGTGGATATGTTATTCCTGGTTGGTAGTTTCTCTCTTTCAGTATTTTAAATATATCATTCCACTCTCTCCTGGCCCATAGGGTTTCTATTGAGAAATCTGGTGATTATCTGATGGGTTCTCTTTGTAGGTTACTATGTTTTTTTCCCTGTCTGACTTGAGAATTCTTTATTTATTATTAACTTTTGACAGTTTTAATATAATCTTTCTTGGAGAAGGTCTTTTTGCCTTGAGATAATAAAGTGTTCCGTTATCTTGTTATATTCAAATGTCCCAATTCCTTCTCTAGGTTTGGGAAGTTTTCATCAATTATTTCTTTGAGTAAACTCTGTTCCCTTCTCCCTCTTTTCTCCTGCTGGGATGCCCATTTTCCTTACGTTGTTTTTTCTAATGGAGTCAAATTGTTCTCATAGAGTTCTTTCATTTTTAAAAAGCCTTAGTTCTTTCTTTTCTTCCACCTGAATCATTTTTAGATTTCTGTCTTTGAACTTGCTAATTCTCTCCCATCTGGTCCATGCTGTTTCCAATGCTCTCTCGTGCATTCTTCATTTCATTTATAGCATTCTTCAGCCCCTGAATTTTTCTTTGGTTCTTTTTTATAGTTTCATTCTCTTTGGTAAAGTACTCCTTTTGTTCCTTAATTTTGTTCCTGAGCTCACTGAACTGCTTTTCTGAAGTTTTTTTGTCTCGTTGAGTTTCTACATAACTGTAATCTTGAATTCTCTTGTCATTTAAATCACAGTCATCCATGACTGTGAGTTTGGTTTCTGGAGACTTGTCATTTTCTTCCTGTGTTACCATGTTATCTTGGTTGTTCCTCTGCCTGTACACTTGAGGTCGTGAACACTTTTCTTGTTTGGATATTGCTTTAAATATAATTCAGTTTGATAATTAGAGGTCTTTTGTTTTCCAGTAGATGGTGTTATAGCAAAGTTTTTGTGTTCTGTTACCTGCACTACCTTGTCCTCTGGGGTCACAGTGTGGGGAACATCAGTGCAGTCATGGAAACTTGACATCTGGGTGACCGGGATTGTGGGTGTCTGTCCCTGCTGTGTCCAAGTCGCCTCAGCATCGGGCACCATCACCATGGTGGGATCTGGTAGGTGGGGAGTAGATGAGTTTGCAAGCCTGCAACACTGCTCCCTCATTCCTTATGGCCACCATCACTGCTGTGCTGTAGACGGGGAGCCATAGATGCATCTCCTCTGCTGCTACTGGGTTTGTCTGCAATGTGGGGAGGAGGGAGCTGAATTCTCCAGCAGCAGCACTGCTTCAGCCCTTCTTACCCTCCGCTGAGCCAGTGTGGACACCGCATCTCAGCTCCTCCACCACTACCGTGTTAGCTGGGGCCACGATGGCTGCTGAACCTCGTTTGTGGACACCGTCCCTGTTCTCCCCCTGCCTCACCTCCCCCTGTGTTCAGTGCAGTCACCTTCAGATGTACCGGTGTGTGTGTCTCTTCAGGCGCCTTTGTGTTGAGTGGAGGAACCTTTGTTGGATTATAGGGTCTGACTTGTTGTAAATTTAAGGGGAGATTCAGAGGAGTTTTCTTACTCCTTCATGATGTTGACATCGTGTATGTGTAAGTTTTGAGAAATTTTAACATTTTATAATATATTTGTGTATATTTTATGGTGGCAAATGATAAAATAGACTAGTATTTACATATAGTTTATGCATTCATGATATACTTAATTTTTTCAACATTTTAGGCTATGTGGCTTGTCTGTGAATTTTTTTAAATTGTTGAAAATCTCCAAAAAATGTTCCAATATATTTATTGAAAAAATAAAATCTGAGTATAAGTGGGCCTGCACAGTTCAAGCCTGTGTTGTTCAAGGGTCAACTGTATTGTTGAATATGATTTGTTAATGTTTTGTTGAGGATTTTTGCATCTGAGTTCATCAGGGAGATTGACCTTTAATTTTTTGTTTTGTTTTGTTTTTTTTGTGGTGTTCTTGTCTGCTCTTGGTGTCAGGGTGATGCTGGCCTTGTAAAATGAGTTTTGAAGAGTTCCTTCCTCTTTTGTATTTTGGAAGAGTTTGAGGAGGACAGGTATTAATTCTTTGAATGTTTGGCAGAATTCACCACTGAAGCCATCTGGGGCTGGACTTTTGTTTGTTGCAAGGTTTTTGATTACTGTTTCAATCGCCTTACTAGTAATTGGTCTATTCAGATTTTCTATTTTTTCATAATTCAGTCCTGAAAGCTTGTATATTTCTGGGGATTTATCCGTTTCTTACAGTTTGTCCAATTTGTTGTCATATAATTGTTGATAGTAATCTCTTATGGTCCTTTGTATTTCTGTAGTATTTGTCATTTCTGATTTTATTTCATTTCATTTCTGATTTTATTTATTTGAATCCACTCCTTTTTTTCTTGGGGAATGTACTAAAGGTTTGTCAATTGTATCTTTTCAGAGATATTTTACTTTCATTGATCTTTTCTGTTTTTTTAGTGTCTTATTTATTTCTGCCCTAATCTTTGCTATTTCCTTCCTCCTACTAACTTTGAGTTTGTTTTTTTTCTTCTATTTCTAGTTCCTTGAGATGTGAAGTTAGGTTGTTTATTTGGGACTTTTCTTGTTTTTTGAGGTAGGCATTTATGGTTATGAATTTCCCCCTTAAAACTGCTTTTGCTGCATCCCAAATTTTGGTATCTCTTTGTTTTGCAGTCTGTTTTGACTGATATAATTATGGGTATCTCAGCTTTCTTTTTGTTTCCATTTGCATGGAATATCTTTTTCTGTTCCTCTACTTTAAGTCTCTGTGTGACCTTAATCTGAAGTGTCTGTAGGCAGCATATAGATGGGTCTAGGTTTTTATCCATTCAGTCACTGTGTGTCTTTTGACTGGCAAATTCATTCAGTTCATTTTAATACACCATTGACTACGTTTTGTTCTGGGTTTGTGGAAACCAGTTGACTTAAAGAAAGGCCAGACACTTGGTTTGTCTTGTCTCTTATTTTCACCTTGGAATTATTTATCATAACAAAGCCTGTTTATTGAGTACCTGCTGTGAACTAGGTTCTGTGCTGAGGGTTAACCCATGTAAGTAACAGACAGGTCGGAGTCTAATCCCCACTTTATAGAGATGAGGAAACTGAAGCTGAGAGAGGCTACAGTTTGTGCATTTAACAACTATTCATGGAGCTGCGCCTCTGTGCCAGGCTCTGTTGTGGATCAAGGACACAAAGCAGATCAAGACCTGTCCCCGAGAAGTGGGGACCTCGTCCAGGAGACCCCCTCTGCCGCCCTTTCTGAGCCCCAGCAGTCCGTGCTCTGACTCTGGACATGTTCACCACATGTCCTGCTCCTGTCACTCAGGAGTGGACTCTGCGTCTGCTGTACTCCATCATGCTCCCACATCCAGGTTATGGTCAGGAGGGGGGTTGGGGCAGCCTGAAAAGGATGAGAGATGACCGCACCATTGTTTTGTTTTTCATCAGGAAGGACATGCTTATTTCCGATTTCTGGAGTTCGGCCCTAGGTGAGTACCACCTCGCCAAGGCTGGGGGCAGTAAGGGCGGGAGGAGGGCCCGAGTGTGAGCCAGGAAAGGAATCCCGCCCTCGTTAATGACATTGTGCTTCACGGAGCAGCAGCGTGTATGCTGGGCTCTATTTATGACGTCTCCCTTCCTTACAGCGGTGTGTTTGGGGCACTTAACTAACTCTGACCCTCAGTTTCTTTACCTGTGAAATAGATGATTATGTACGTATCCTGTTGTGTAATTTTGAGTGTTAAATGAGGCTGTGCAATTAAGTGCTTAGAACAGGGCTTGATGCTGCACAGGGACAATAAATGCTAGCTGTCATTATCATTGCTGTTGAAATTTTTGTTTATCTTGCTTTTTCCTTGAGATTATAATATAGACTTCCCCCCTCCCCCATGCAGTTATAATCTCTTCTTAAACAATATGTGTGGGAACATAGATATTAATAAGTGGAGTGAACATACCATAGTTATAATTTTTATTAAGGAACTTGTAAGTTTGTTTCCTTTCTTTGTTTTTTAGATATTATCATAACTTTGCAGTGAGCACCTTTATGCATAAAACTTTTACCGAATTTAGGATGATCTTCTTAGGATATGTTCCCAGAAGTGACAGGCAGTGACCACTCTGACATCCATTGTCAAGTTATTTTCTAAAAAAGCTTTTTACCAATTCTTTTACTAGCAAGAATCAAAAGAGCAACCTTTCCTGGCTGAGCTCTGATATAAAGATATCTTTGCTAATAAGTGAAAACTGGTATCTTATTGTGGGAACATATGGTTTTTTGCTTTTTGTTTTGCATACAGATTTGTGTAACTAAATTCAGCACCAGTATAATATTAGACAGGAGATCCCACCACTGTATTAGCAGATTGAAACAAAGTATTGTTCATTAGACTCTAGAAGCTCCAGCCTACCTTTTTTCTTTGAGCTTTTTACATGTTGAATATTCCTACTTCCAGCCATTTATAGTGTGGTAGTGAGAGATCTGCTCCTGTATTCTTTGTTATAATAAAAAAGTCAGCACTTCAGACCATAACCTGCATTGACCAGGTACCTCGTATTAAACAGGGATGACTTCACATTTTTCGATGGAAACTGTGTCTATAAATGAAACCTGTTTTGTGCTGAAACGCTCTCTGAGGTTGTAGGCCGTGGGTTTCCAGGGACCAGGACACCCTGTCAGTTTTGGTGGACACAGCGGCATGTCTCAGGCGTGTTGTGGAGTGGGCCGGCAGACCTTCTCTTTGAGAAGCTGAAGCTGTTACTGCCCTGCTCCTTGTCTCCCTGGACCTGTGGGCTGCTTCTGTGGATGATTTGGTTCACAGGGTAAGAGCATGCCCTCTGACTGTACCCAGGGGCCCGCTTTTTCAGAAACCATCAACACATGTCTTACGAAACATCTGGAACAGCTGATGGCCCCAGTAGGGACTCTTTCAGAAGCCCTTGGAAACCTGCACCTTGACTCATCACCAGATGACTCAGATGCGGCCCCTGGCTCCATCCCAGGGGAGACCCTGCTCACGGGAACCTGCCATTGGAAGTGCGTGTGTTACGGCATTGGGAACTTTTCCACCTGCGTCATAGCTAGAAACCAGCTCACATTTTTGCTTCTCTTCCTGGAAAAGTGCCAGGTATATCTTTTGACTCTTCGTCGTCGTCCCTGCCTTGGTCTTGTGCATGGTGTGCACACAGGTATGTAGGTTGAACTAAACGACTCCTTCCTTTCTGCAGATTCCCAGAAGTCATTGCTGGGTGTATGACCCTCTGTTTAGCCAACTCGAAATTGCAGTTCTTAACACCCTTGGGGTGATTGTTCTCAGTGAGAACGAGGTGAGTGGTTTAGGAAAGGCGGGTGGGGAGGGCAGTGGAACTCCTGACCACCTGACCCCGGGCTCTGCCCCGTGCACGTGTTTTCTTTGAAGCAGCAGTTGTTCCTCCCCACTGCTGGCTTGCTTTCCCAGCGCCTGTAATGTGACCCATTACCCAACTGTTGTGCCCGTCAGAAAAAAAGAAATTACACAAATGGCATGAACCAGAACACGTTAGGTGTACAAAATTTTTATGAGGATTCTGTGTCCAGAAATTATGCTAAGTTGGTATTTACTGTTGATGTTAATATATTGAAAGGGCACACAGCCTCTGCCTCTCATAAGGGCTGTCTGGTTGGAACTTACCCTGTCCCGGGGGAGGTAATAAAAGGGGGTGGAACATCTCCCCTCTTTGAAGCTGTAGCCCAGTCACATCCACAGCACCTGGCTGTGAGGTGTGGGTGAATCCGCTGCCCACCACAGAATCCCCTAAAGTAGCCGAAATTCGACATTTTTTTGAGACCTGGACAAAAGAAAATCATTTCACAAGCAGAGGCCTGAAGCCAGTCTAGGCAGATACCTCTGAATTTAGTTTTGTATTATCTTGGGGATGATACAATAATCATTTGATTCCTCGCTGTTCTGAAAAACTGCCTTCTCATTGCTCATTATGAAACATGAAAATTAGGCCCAGCTGAGACTAGAGACTCGCTTGCTGATGTTGGCAAGCTCCTAAAACACGGCCGTTTAATTCAGATCATCTTTGCTGAATGCTGGCTCTGTGCTAGGCAAGGAGCTTTGGGGAGACCGCGATAACTGGGAACCCGTCCCTGCCTCCAGGGACCCCATTGTCCCACCAAGGCATGTGGCCCGTACACAAGTACCCAGATGAATCAGTGAGGTAGCGCCACGGACTAGGAACCGAGACGGGAAGGAAACCTGTGCTGTTGGGTGGGATGGAGGAAGGGCCCCTGGGTCTGAGCTGGGATTGCAAAGTCCACCAGGAGTTTGCTAGCGGGACAAGCCCACGGCTGCGGGCAGCCTGTGCAGAGCTGGCAGTTTGTGATTAACAGAAGGGAAGCTGCAGAGAAGAGGAGAGAGGAGGGGCCCAGAGGCAGCAGGAGTCAGAGCAAAGGGAGCGCCTTGTGTTCCTGCCACGCATTTCGGCCGTGGAGCAGTGGTTCTCCGAGGGGCACTGGAAAAGGACTGTTACGATGGGGATCCGCAGAAAGTGACACAGGAAGCAGGATGCATTACCAAACACAGTCCACGGGGGACAGCAACTGTCACCGTCCCTCCTGCCCTTGTGTCATGGACCCAGCAAGTCCTTTCGTTGATCCAGAGCTTTCTGTGTTCGTGGGGCACATATTTATTAAGTAAACATGAGTTCTTTCTGGACATGATTTCCTGACTTTCAGTCCGATATAATTTTATAGATTTCATACACACTACTATTGTAACTATTCCAAATGGAATGTAGTTTTTTTTTCCATTTCATACCTCAGTTTGCTTTCCTCTTAGCTCATTTTTTCCCAAGCTGTTTTTATGTAATTGACATACAGCATTGTGTAAGTTTAAGGTGTACAATGTGATTTGATACACGTGTATATTGCAAATGATTACCACAATAAGGTCAGTTAACACACCTGTCACTTCACATGGCTACATTTTTATTAATTTACTTTTTTCTGTGGTGAGAACTCGCAGCTCATTACTCATCTGGCCTTACCTCTCCCTCACTGTTGTGAGAAGTGTGTTTACGCCTGCGCATACTGTATCCCCAGGAAGGAAAGCGGAGCGTGCATGGGGAGCGCACCATCTTTTACATGCTGCACTGTGGGACGGCCCTGTACAACAATCTGCTATGGCGTAACTGGTCAGTGGAGGCCCTTTCCAAGATGGTCATCATTGGGAACAGTTTCAGAGGACTGGAGGATCGGTAAGCCTGAGAACGCCGAGATGCTGGCAGGCCCTGAGCGGAAGCCCGTTCCTCCGAGTGACCCGTAGGCAGAACTTGTGTGGTCCTTGGAAATGCTTTTCCACAGGACGGTGGACACAAGGTTAGAGAAAGGAGATGTCAAGCCTGAGTCCAGCTGTGAAGCAAGTTAAGGAGTGTTTTTGCCAATAATTCCTCCCTTATGATGGACAGGATTTTTTTTTTTTTTAATGGGGAAAAAAAACATTGGATTTTTCTTAACAGCTACATGCGCTCCTTCTGTTTGGCAATGCCTAGGTGTCTGCTCTGTCACCTCTCCCTTGATGAAATGGGCAGTTACTGGGGCATTCACATTTTCTACTGAATATTTAACCTACACTACACCCCTAATTTTAAAAATTCTTCCTATATTTAAATCACCTTGTCTTTCTTCACTTGTTAAGTTTACTCTCGTACCTCCTAATCATGCTTTTAAATTTTTTTATTTCTAGATTGTTGACAAGGATTCTGCAGAAAAATTATGCCTACATTGCCAAGGTATCTATCTGAGTGAAGGGGCTGCGATGGAAAGGGTGTGAAATCCTATTTCTGTCACTGTGAGGGCTTCTGCCTTGCCGTGTGTAACGGAAGCTCATGAGGGGCTACCTGAAGGCAGAGGGAATTTAATGCACTGTCAGTGAGCTGTCGAGGGGTCTGCTTCCAGAAAGCTCTAGCTCTAACATCTTAGCACGTCTTAATTTTTTCCTAATTTCCTTTATTTTCAGTATCACATTCCAATGTAATCACTGCCCTTGGAGCTTCCAATGCATTCCACAGAAGCACTTAAAATATCCTATTCCTATTTTTTTTTCTAAAGGACAACATGGGGTAGGGTGACCAGTAAAACCAAAATATAACCCAGTAGAGTGGGGTTCACTGCGACTATCAATTTTATACTTTTTTATGTTTGAATTGTCGTGCTCAGATTTTACAAGGACTGGAGGAGCAGGAGTTTCCTCTGACTTCCCAGTACACGGACATGTTTAACGACACCGCTGTCCACTGGTTCCCTGTCCAAAAGCTCAGCCAACTCTCGGCGCCCACGTGGGCGTTTCGGGAAGAACCGGACTATCGGGACTGTGAGGACCTTGAAATCATCAGGAACAAGACACAGGATCCTTCAGCTACTGACTCAAACTCGCTGTAATGTATTCAGTGTGGGCTGAGGCGGAAGCAGCTGCCGCCAGAGACTAAAGGGGTCGTGGCCATGGAGGGACCGCAGAGAACTTTCTCCACAGTCAGTGGGCCAAATTTCGGAGCGAACAGGAAATCCCTCAACTTGGCTCTCCTGTTTAGAGGACGCCAGGCCAGTAGAGGGACTTGGTATAAAGTTTGACATGTTTCTAAAGTAGCATTATCATGTTTTACATCCTTCGTTCCTCGGTGACCTGGCCGGACAGGGAGTAGCTCCTGGAGAGAGAAGCTACTCTTTCAAAGATTGTTTAAAACACTGTTTATTCACAAACGTGTCCCCCCAGGTCCAGGCGCGCAGCCTACTTGGCCATGTCAATCAGGCTCTGCAGGGAGGTGGGCACCCAGGTCTTCTCGCCCTGCACAAACACCACTCCCCGGTCAATATAGATGACGATTCGGCCGAAGGTGTAGAGCTGCTTCCCTTCGTGTCTCTTCCCGATGACGGGCATGAAGACGATGTTGTGCTCCTCAGCCTTGGTCTCGATGAGGTCCTTAAAGTTCATGGGCACGGAGCTGGTGGCCACACCGATGCCCCTCTGGGCCATGTTCTCGGCCTCCCGCCGCTCCTGCATCGCCTCGTACTGGAAGTCCTTCCTCCGCTCCGTGTGGGTGAGGTAGGCGATGTTCTCCCGCGCTCCGGGCTGCATGTAGGCACCTGGGAGACAGGGCAGGGGTGAGGAGAGGAAGGTGCTCCCACACGCACAGAAATCGAGACCACGACTGGGCCAAGTTCTGGGCTCCCTCAGGTGCCATCCCCATAAAAGCTATGGGACTCACTGAAGGGCAGCTGTGCCTCAAAGACACAAAGCACGAAACAGATGGTCAAACAAACACCTAGACAGCTGGCTGGAATCCCATAAAAATTAGTCTGAAGATTCCTGGCTAGTACCTGGCAACCAGAGAGATTATTAAATATTCAGCATAAGATGAAATATCTGCCAGGCATTTATCCTTCCAGAGCTGGAAACCTGTGAAACAGGCAGTCGTTAGCCACCACTCCGTTCCCATCTTGCTTGAACCTTGGAAACATGGCCTGTACTAGTTCTATTTCTAACCTGCCCATACAGGCCCCCTGGCCCTGGGAGAATTTAAACTGTAGGTGGAGAGCTGAAACACAGGTGTTGAAGGGTAGAAATTACAGGACCACAAATGCCCAGTGCTAACTGGGGGGTACAAACGGGGAGCAGTTCCAGGGGCTTGGGGCCCGAGAGGCTGAGGAAGAGTTTCTAGATGACAGCATGAAAATGGAGATGGCCCACTGATGTTGCTTGAATATCTGGGTAAGTAGAGTGCATAGGCGTATATCTGCCTTGTTAAACATTATATAATTACATAATCTATGAATTCTAACTGTTTTCATGTAATGGGCTTAATAGAAAGAATTGAAGGCTCAGGAAATAGAAATTCCAATCACAGCTGCCACTCTTCAGCAGTGTGATCTTGAACAAGCTCTTGGCCTTGTCAGCTTCTCTGTGAAATGAGGTTGGAGTAGATGCTCATGGCCTTTGCTGTGAGAGGTGAGCACGCTAACAGCATTGGCTGAGGTGGCGCCCAGTGACTCACCTAGACCTGAGCAGCTTGGGGAACAGGTGCTAAACGAACAGTCAACGGCCTGCTTCTGACACAACACAGATACCACCACTGAGCACCACATACAAACAGTAACTCACGTAATCCCTCTAAGCTTTTAAGTAAAACCTACAAGGGAGGTATTGCTGCTGTTTTACACATAGAGAAAATGGCCTAAGAGAGGTGAAGCAGCTACTAAGAGTTAGAGTGTATGCTCCAGCTCCGTGCTATGAGCTGTTACATTCAATTGCACACCCAGCGCTGGCCGGGCAGACGCACTCAGGAACCCTAAAGCCACACGGCACAGTGGTTACAAAGGTGGGCCCTGGAGGTGGCCCCACATGGGGTGAATCAGCTTAAGTCAGTCTCCATTGCGGGAAAGACGCGCCTCCCAGTCACAGATGAGCTGGCAGTGGGTGCCAGCTAACTATGTAACCCAGCCTGGTGGGCAAGACCAGGGTCTGTGGGAGCCGAGGGTGAGCTGGCTGTAGGCAGCCCTGAGAGCTCTGATTCTGGGTCGTTTATGTTCAGAAACATGGAGCTTGGCCAGGACACCCAAAACAGAACCCCCACTCACCAACGTTGGAGGACACCGCCCTGTTCATGATATCAAGTGCTTCGTTGAACTTGTCCTTGATGGATGGGTGTGCCAGCACTTGGTCTGAGAACATGGACTTCCAGCCCAGGTACCACTTGGTGATCTCCTCATAGTTTGGGCTGTTACTGAGCCAGGAGCACAGCACCTGCCAAAAGGAACCAATAATAAACTTGCACCCACAATGGCAACAGATGGGAGCAAAACATCCAAAGGGGCCGTTTGTTTTGTTTTGGTCCTAGTCCTACAAGCTGGTGACCCTTTAGGTGGCCTGACAGCTAAGTGTCCTTGCACGGAAACGCTCTGAGCCTCAGCCTCCCGTGTACACAGTAGGGATACCACAGTGCCGACCCCAAAATGCAGATCAGGCACTCAGGACAACATCTGGCACGTGGCAAGTGGCCAATAAATGGTGGTCACTGCTGTTACTGCTTAACTCGTTCCCATCCTACCGTGTCATTTATTTTTCTTATGTAATTAGGGCATTATCACCTGACAGTTATCCTGGAATGAAGTGACTTCTCCCTGCCTCCATCCCATCCCCCACAAAACAAGGCAAAACAAAGTGTACCTGAAGCCACTTGGGGAAGAAGTGCTTTTCAAGAAGCCCCACCAGGCTGGAGACAGAGATCATCCCTTCCCAGTCGATGACCCAGTAAAAAGCATCCATGTGTTGCTGGTGAGGGTTAATGACTAACTCGCCAAGACACATCCCTAGGAGAGAACCCAGTCGCTGAGGCCAAGCCACAGGAGCACAAAGAACACAGCCTTCGGCAGACAGTGTTAGCCTTTGGTCTGCTCTGAAAGGTCAGCCGTTAACTCCTAACATGGCAACTCTTACACGTCATTCTCTAACCCAGAAATAACTTATATTTAGAATCAAATACCACGAAAATTTCAGAACACCAATGGCTCTCCTGTTACCGGAAGCCCAGACCAACCAGGAGCCAGGAGACACGCTGAGTCTGACATGGTCACTACAGCCGTTTAGTCACTGCCTTAAGGACTCTGGTTTCATTTATCTTCAGCCTCAGTGCACAAAACGGCACCTCTTTTACAGTGAGAAATGTCATGTGCTGAGCTCTGTCATCCAGCTCAAAGGCCATGTTTTAAGAAGCACAATCAATACTGCTGGCCACAGAAACGAGGGCACCAAAGCCACTGGACTTGGGTGCATCCCCCCACTTCCTTACCCAGCTTGGGCACTATGTTCTTCACCATGAAAGCCTCCCAGGAGCCAGGGGTGAAGACGTCTTTCCAGGGCTGGAGGATGAGCTTGGCAGAGGCGTCGCTCGGGTGCCACTTCTGCAGGGCGCTGGACAGCTTGCTGCGGATGGGGGAATACAGCGGCTCCAGGCGCGCCTGCATGAGGGGAAGCCACGGGTGGATCCAGGAGTGGATGGGCACAGTGTCCGTCAGCGGGTTCCAGTTTTCCACCTACAGTAGGAGGGGGGGAAGGCAGAATTCGCGGAGCCTGGCAGGCAGTCGCATGGCGCCCTGTGCAGTTACTGGTGAGGAGGCCACGTGCTCTCCTGGCCCAGGTCCAGCCCTTTGCACATGTGGGGGACACGGTCTCCATTTTATGGAGGGACACAGTAGGCATAAAGAGGCCGCCACGGTGCTTCGCAGGCATTTGTACTACATTTCCCCAAAACAGAGACACTGACCCACAAATAAACACACTCATGCAATTGTCTCAAATCTCAGAAATGGCACAATTCTAATTTCAATAAAGAAACCAAGAAAATGAATTCCTATTAACAGAGGCTTTGGGGAGAGAAGGGTTGGAGTTAATATAGGGCAATAGCTGTGCCAACAAATTCTGGAAGTGCAGGTGTTTTCCCAGCACTGAGAGGAACGGAGATGCTGAACGCGTCCCCGCGGCACCGATGAGCGCTCGCCCATGCCCTGGGCTCACCTCCTTCTGCAGCTTGGGGAAGATGAGCTGGTCCAGTATGTTGTCCAGGATCCACACGGGGATGATGTGCACCCAGCTATCCAGAAAGTCCACCATCGGCTCACAGTTCCTTGGCTGCCACTGGGTGACAATGTTTCGAACAAAAGGCATCCAGACCTCCCATATCAGCCTACGGGAGAAAGGAGAGGGCGGGCCAGCTCACTGCGCGGACTGCTTTCACAGCACACCACCCCCACTGCTCTACAGTAAGAAAGAAAAGGCAACCGTGGAAATGCAGTCAGGAAACCCTCAGGCCAGTCGCCATGCTGGCCAGACCTGCGCCTGGCTTTCCTGGCCGCGCACCCATCAGGCCGCCGCCGCCTCGGCAGTACCTGCCTGCCTGGCAGGGGTGCTGTGGGTTCACGCAGGCTCATGGCTCCCACACAAGGACTCCTCCCCAGGTGTCGTGTGCTGTCCCACCCAGAGGTCTCTGCACAGCCGACGCCTAACCCTTTGGCCCGCAGCTTAAATGTCACCTCCTCTCAGAGACCATGGCCTCAAATCCGCCCCTGCCCCCACAAAGGTGTTATTCTCTATCACATGCCCAGTTTGCACCCTGGGCTTATCTGTCCACTTCCTTCTTCACCCTCTGCCTTTTGCATGTCCTGTGGACACAGGCTGTCTGTTTTATCCCAGGGTAAGTCTAGTCCACACACGATCCTCATCAGATAACCTGGTGTGCAGGGTGAGCTACCGAACGAGAACTGTGATGCCCAGAGCAGTGCGGCATATAGCCGAGGTCTAATAAGGATGCACCCACCTTCCCCCGCGGTAGCAACCCCTGCCAGGCCCCCAGGGCACAGCTGGGGTGCCGTGCCGCGCCCCGCCCCGCACTGAGTACCTGTGAAAGGCGTCTGCGGACAGGTCCTGCCCACCATGAGACAGGAGCTGGTCATTCTCCAGGAGTCTTTTCCACCTGGAGATGATCTCGGTGCCGTAAGTACAGTCCTGAGGAGAGAAACGGCAGTTGCAGGCAGGTGGGTTACCAGCCCTCCTTGCCCTCTGATGGTCTTCCCACTAGGGCACACCCCAAGCCAGAGGCGGAGGCGGGTCTCCCCAGGGACTCACTTTGAGGGGATCCCACTCCTTGAAGTGCTCCTTCATGAGCGGGTAGACGATGGCCACGGCGAGGTCCACGCGGTCAGACATGCGGTACTCCTCGTAGTACTTGTCCTGCAGGGTTTCGAAGATGCGGGCGCACTCGTCCAGGGTGAGTGGGTGGCTGCAGCTGGGCTGCATGCGCCGCTCGCACTCCTCCACCATCTCCAGGACCTTGCTGAGGTTGGAGATGGCCCGCTCCTCGTGCTCCAGGACCTCTGACATCTTCTCCAGCTCATGGGACAGGTTGACCACCATGTCGCGCTCGTAGCGCAGTTGCCGGTCGTTCTGGATGATCTCCTGCTCTGTGAGGTCGATGAGCAGCTGCAGGTTGTGCTCCAGCTCGGGCAGCGCGAAGCCCGGGGCCTTGGTCTCTCGGCCGGGCTGGGGCAGCTGCTGGGACTGCAGCGGCAGCCCGTCGTCGGGCACGCTGTGCTTGTGGCTGATCTGACTGTAGCTGTAGTAGACCTTCTGCTCCCGGCCGGTCATGTCGATGACCTTGGAGAATGGCAGAGGGAACGCAGGTCAACACTCAACCACAGCTGCCCCATGGCCGAGGCCCGGGGGACACGATGCTGGTGGGAAGGTGAAGCAGCACACTGCTCAGCAGAGCTGGAGGAGGGCTGGGCTTCTCAGAGTGGGGTCCCGGCTGCGCCAGGTTAGAGGGCCCAGGCGGTCGGCCGCAACAAATAGCTCTAGACTGGACCCCTCCAGACAAAGCAGATGCAGAAGACTTTTTAGGAAAAGGGATAAAATCTGAATACGGACTATTAGTTGAGATGAAAATCTATTTTCATGGAAAAAGTAGAGTCTGTACTGATGAAAGCGGGTAGTAAAGCATGCAATCAAAACACATTTTTGTTCAAAAAGTGGATATTTAGGGCCGGCTGAGTGGTGCGATGGTTTAAGAACTGACTTGGGACGCCAGAGGGCCCCGGTTCGGATCCCACATATGAGGGCCAGTGACACTGCCCTCTACAGCTAAGATGCTGAACAACAGCTCAACCTGGAGCTGGGCTGCCGTGAGTCGCTGGCGACGGTGTAGGCTGCAGCCCCTGTGGCAGTGGGTTGCCATGGGCTACCGTGTGTAGCCAGCAGCCAGCGTGAGCGGCCAGCAGCCAGCGTGAGCGGCCATCCAAGAAGCCGGCGACTGATCTGCCTCGCCTGGGAAGAGCGCAATGATGGTGCCAACTTGGGCCAGTGAAGCAACATCCTCCACAACTAGACTGAAGAGCAAAACGACAGCAACTTTTCTGTTCCCCTTCCCCCAATTCCCCAATAAAAATCTTTAATAAAAAAATAAAAAGTGGATATTTAGGCTAAGATCTGGAAGGGTATACATCAAGATGTTAAAACTAGGAAGGAAGGAAAATAATATTTTTTATATTTTTGCCTCTATTTCCTAATTGTCTAAAATGTACTACAGACTGCCCTGCAATAAAAATTTTTTTATTTTAAAAACATACAAAAAAGTAGTTAATGGACAAAGGCAACCTGGGAAACGAGCTGATTTCAACATTTCAAGAAAACTGAGGAAATCGGAAGATGGTCTCTAATGGACCAGAATTATCTGTCATTAACTTAAGAGTGTGATCCAAGAACCATCTGCATGAGAATCACGTGGAGAAAAAGAAACTCGGAGCCCTCAGGCCCAGTCTAGGTCTGCTGACTCAGAAGTCTCTGGCGGGGGCCTGGGCATCTGCATTTCTTACCCGGCCCCCAGACAGTCTCATGCACAACACCCCGACACTGAGAACCAACCTCACTCAAGACTCTGAGCTGTGACACACGCACACTATCAATCCTACACCAAACTACAACAGACAGCTGCCATCCTGTTCTTTGGCTGCTTGGGGGAGTGAAGGAGAACCTAAGACCATGCACATAACTGTCTGAAAATGTCATCTATTAAACAAGAAAATACTCCATGCGGGTGTGCCCCAGGACTCCCCTGCACTCCTGGTCAGAAGGGAGTGGGTACAACCTTTCCAGGCCTTAGAGACCTTCCTCTTCTCTAACTGGGTGATTGTACTTCTAAGAATCTATCCTGAAGAAAATGAAACAAAGACAAGACTTTACATACAAACTAGCCTAGCAGAAACCCAAACCAAACCAGAAAAAAGTTAGAAGTCTAGCAATAGAGGTAGGGCCTAGTGATGATGGTACAGCCGCTTTCTGGGACATGCACCTGTAAAGACCATGTTTACCCCGAGTTTTTAATAACAGGAATGTTGTTAAATTCACTGGCTCTGAGCTCCAGAAAAAAGGGCACACTTGTCTGACTGACCACTCCAGGGCCATGCAGCGTACCTGGCACACTGTGGGAACGTGACACCTGCAGGACTCAAGTGTGAGTGCAGTGAATGGGAACGTGCTTTTAATCCAGTGAGAAAAGCCTGGACGGAAGCCCCCAAAAGACTTCAGAAGTGATGTTCGGTGATTGGCTCTGTCAAATAACGTGTCGAATTACGTTTCTGTGTTTTCCAGCGCCCCACCCTGGACCAGGTGTCCAAGGGCCCACGTACCTTGACCTGGGAAAGCTCCTTCTGGGGAGTGGTGAGCTTCTTGCTAATCCTGCCCTTGGCCTTCAACTCTTCCACCGTCTTGTAGGAGTATTTGGGCTTCTTCTTGCTTCCACTGGGGTCTTTCCTCCACTGGCTCAGCTCCTTCTGAAACTCCTGAACCAGAGGGATACAGTCCATGACAAGAAAGCCCATGTTTTACAGCAGGTGGGGCCACTGAGACCATTATAGATATTTACTGGCCATGCTCTTCGATTTTCACAAGGTTCTATGCTAAGGACTGTGCCGGAGTGACACTAAAACCATCTCAAGGTAATCGACACCCACTCCCCGTCTTACAAATAATGAGGTTCAGAAGGCAGGTGCACCAGATGAGACAGAGAAACAGAGCGCAACATTTACAGAGCATCTATGTCAGGCACTATGCTAGTTTTAAGTCTACCTCATGTAAAACTTAGAAATACCACACAAAGGATTTTTTAAGTACACAAAACTCTGACTCTAATTTTTAAAAAAGGTAAATAGGCCCCTAAGTTTCGAGACAAAGATATCTTTTACAATCAGCATTTGCACAACTTTTCCAAAGGAAGATCTAAAGTAAAGGAGGGAACTGTTACTCTGAGGGTGGCAGAGTCCAGCCCTCAGAAGTGGGTTTTGTGGTTGCCATTTTGTTTTATCTCACGCTGGTTTAAAACTTGTAATTTTTTTCTCCAAAAAAAAAAATCTGGACTTTTACTTGGGGAATTCAGAAAATCAGGCAATCCTGAGCCCACCACATGGCACTAATCGCCTCGTGCTGAAAAGCAACTCCCCCGTTAGACGGGCTACGCCCTCGCCCGCCTGCCTCAGGCCTCCCCGGTCCGCTGCCTCACGCCTGGCTCGCCTTCCTCATTTATGCTGCATGCCTGGCCCTTGCTGGTGTCTGAGTCTGAGCCCCAAGACTCAGCAGTCAACCCCACATTATCAAACATCTGCTTCCTCAGGAAAAGCAGAGGGTCAGCGACAGGACAATAACGACTGTGTCTTTGCAGCATCCTGCTTTCCCTCATACATGCAAAGGGGCAAAAAGTACCATTTCACTCGAGAGAGCTGGGCCCTCTGTCAAGGCAGCAACTCGATACACAGCTGACGACCCACGGCGCCCTGCTGCGCTTGGAGTGAGACCCAGCACCTAACACGGCCTTCTGGTGGGGCGGCCTGCCACCTCAGGGCGCTTCCTTCCCCGCCCTGCTTGTACGGTCATCGCGCCACAGCATCTCCTGAGTGTCACCTCGCCGGTGTCCTCTGGCCTCTTGACTCTCCCTGTGGCTGACGCCCTCTCTTGTGCCAGGCGCCAACTGAAATACTTCCTTCCTAAGAGGCCTTCCCTGACCACCCTAGCTATTAAAAGTAATAAATACTTTTCATGAAAATACACACGCCCAGCCTGATCTTCTACCTCGGCACCTCAGTGCTCACTGCTCCTCCTCACCACACCGCAGCTGCCTGTTTGCTGCCTGTCTCTGTCCCCCAGCCCCCAGCGCAGGGCCTGCCACCGAGGGTGCAATAACCACCTGAAAACTGACAATGAATGAACAAACTGACGGGCACAGACCCAGGCGCCCAGGCTCCTGACTCCTCACCTCCTCGGCTTCCTCTTCAGAGTCGGCCGTGGGGAAGTCCTGCAGGGACTGAGAGGTGCGCTCTGAGCCGTAGGCTCCCACGGCGCCTTTCCCCTTCCGCTGCTTGGCTTCGATGGGGTTGATGATACCTGACAAATTTCAGCAAAGAGAAAAACACAAGAGACTCCTGATCACAGCGATTCCGGTACCTGAGTAGTAAGGTCCTCGGTGAAATCACACTTCCTCGGACCTTACACACAATGACACACAACCCGGGAAGGACAGCTCTTCTCTGCCCTAAGACGGTTCATGTCCTGTGTGATGTGAAACTTCTGGGTGTTTATGCTGCCACAGAACAGTTTGCTGACATCAGGTTACTTATGTCCTAAATACGGGTTCCCATGTCCACTTGGATTCATTTTTTAGTGCATGGGAAGAAAAGAACATTTATCACTGGGAACTCCGGCAGGTAAATTCTATGCCTCGCTCGTCTGGAAGCCTTTACCACAGGAAGTGCAGTAACTCAGGTATCTACTGGTCTGACTGAAGGGAGGTGAAGCTCCAATTTGAGCCTCCATCTAGTTTACATTCACACCAACTGTGCTTGACTTCTCTTATAACATGTTTAAGCCTTGGAAATAAACGTTCTTCTTATGAAAGCATTTACAAACAAGATTACAATATTTTGATGAAGATTTCCCCTCACCCCAAACCTGCCACCATCTTCCACTTCCGCTTAGTACTGCTGAAATCTCAGAATGGTCCACTCCCTCATTCCTGGTCACCATTTCTATCTTCGCTCTGGTTCACGGATTTTCTCAAACAGTTCATGTTTCAATACATAACCGGGATTTAACTTTAATAATTACTTAGTAAGTGGAATCTGAATTATAGAGAATATTATTGATTATATCTAGTTGGTGAAGGAAATAATAGCTCAGGGACAAGGAAAATGATTTCCTCCAGGAAGACTACAACTGGTTGGTTTGAGAGGCTCTGGTATCAGGAGATGAAAATGTGTGAGAGGAACTGTGTCTTGACGGGGCTGGGGAGAGAGGATGAGAGGGGACATTGCCGCTGAGTGGATGGAGGTAACCAATGCAGGATTTGCTCAGCCAAGTTTATAGCTACATGTCTCTATTTTTTTAAAAAGCTACAATGTTTCATTGATATACCTGAAGGACAAATAGCTGTTTTTGCAAAATTTAAACCCCTGTAAGCAGGGACTACAAACTCTCATGCCTTTGTGGCCCAGAAAAATGAATGTAAACAAGTTGAGTTGGTTGGGGTGAGAGGCAACAGGGAGTGGTGGAGACTGCGTCCAAGAGAAGGCCGTGTGCCACGTCCTGGGGCAGTTAGGATTCGGCTGAACCAATTACTGCCGGGCAAATCTGGAGTTTTAGGTGAGACTATCTGATTTTTATATATTGGCAATGAATTCCATTTTTTCTAGAAACAACGGACAGGCCAAAAAGAAGCCTGTCCTCAACCTACGAGCTTGTGGCCTCTTTTAGACGCTAACCATTTTTCTCCTGCTGAAACAAGTATTTTATTGAGTTTGATAAAGCAAGGTAGCTTAGAAGCCCAACTAGTCTTGTGCTGGCAGATCGGGCTGTGGAGTTTAAGTGCTTTCACAGGAGAAAAGGCAGACCATGCCCCACACCACTCTTCTATGCTCGCCTTGCCTCCCCTGCTCAAGACGCAAGGGCGATGGAGCCATACCTTGTGCGTTCTTCCCGAGGCCCCTTCCAGGGACGTAGCCCATCTTCTGAAGAAGCTTCTGTCCAATTCCTTTTGTATGTCTTTCCCAGCTGCCAAAATCCATGAAAGATTTGGTTCCTCCAGCAAAACCTTTCTGGCTGGGTTTAAAATTGCCACCCTGAAAAGAAAACTCAATGCTTAGTTGATGGCAAAAGAAAAGGAAAAAACATCTAAGAAAGAAAGCTTGGCTGATGGGAAAGTGGCTGGCAGTCACAGGGCGTCATGAAAAGCGTCATGTAAACTAAAAATGTCTGTGATGCATGCTGGGAAAGAAACGGACTGCACTGAACACTTCACACCTCGCAGAAACCAGCCACCACAAGAAGAAACCCACACAGTCGACTTCCGGCTGAACCCCTCACCCCTCTCCCCCTTTGCTAAGAGATGCTTGGGCTGCAATGACCTTCCAAGGATATCACTAAGGTCACAGTGCTTTGATGAAGACACTACCGTTTTTAACTTCTTTGGTCCGAAATCCTTAGGAAATTCATCCTGCTTCACAGGTTTCTCTTCATCTTCGGAATCTTGCAGCTCCGCATCCTCGGCAGCCGCTTTCTTGAGTCCAGCGCTGATGAAGTTGACTGGCGCGGAGTAGTCACGGGCCCTGTAGGCAAACACAACATGGGGCCGTAAAGAACTCTTCTGCTGCCATCCCTCGCAGAACCTTTGCTGGCCAGAGAATTCCTTAGCACGGATCTCATGGGATCCATTTTAAAATAGCAACACATTCACTTATATCAGAAGGGCCCCGGATCTGGCCTCCTGTTATCACACTTAACAGTTTTACCTGATGTGTTAGTCAGCTCTATGGCTGAATAGCTACCGATATCAGTGTAGACTTGATGAAAAATTCAAAGTATGATGTGATAATCACACTTTTTTTTACATTTTTTAACAATGACTTACTTTTAAAAAAGCATTTATTTTGGACACTATTTCAAGTACAAAAATCAAACAAGAAAAGAAATTCTGACATAAAAATCATAAATAAATAAAAAACATTAAGAGATTGTACGAATAGAAATCATATTAACAATTATACCAAACTCTATGAAAAAGTTCATGTCCTTTAAATTTGTGTATGAAAACTAAACTAAAATACCTAAGAAATTAACTCTGAGATGCAAAGTACTGATTTTAACAGATTGCCTCAAGAATGGTACTTAAAATAAGTTATTAACCGCAGTTCCCTTTTGTATAAACTGAAGCCAATACCTCTGTATTGGTTAAAGGAGCACAGAGAAAAGGTTCCAATGAAAAACCCTGGGAATAGTACAAAATAAAGTGATGCTTCATAAAATGACTAACCTAGTAATTAAACATGCCCATGGCAGCAGTAAAATGGAGAGAATTCTTTCCTAAAAGACGCAGTGTAACTTAATGGTTACGAGCCTGAACTTTAGAGTCAGGCCAGGATTCTCACAGCCTCGCTGTGTGGCCTCTGGCAGCAGTTTCTTAACCTGTAAAATGGCATGATGGTAATGGGACCTTTCTCATCATGTAAATGAGACCAGGCATGTGTAGAACCCACAACAAGCAAGCCACCAAAAGACGCCGGCTGCTTTTACTGCCTTACGATTATTCAGTTCTTGACTCCTGACCTATTTACCATCCACTTTTAGATTTCCTTGCCAGATGAGAAGAGGTTGAACTATACTCTTTCTTCTCGGGCTCCTTTGTGAAAAAAGCACAATCTCAGTGGGCTGGAGCCCACGGGCCATGGATGGGGTCCGGGAGACAGACCCAAACCTGCTACACACTCTGGTTGAGCAAGTCGCAGCCCACACACACGTGACTTCACACTGAGGAGACTTTCGGCCCCAATCCTCACTTCCCTACCACCATCCTAGCCGAGGCCTCCGCCACCTCTGCGGGGACCGCTGCCTCGGCCTCCTCACAGAGCTCCCTGTCCGCTGCGGCTCCATACTGACTCTGCACACCAGCAACAAGGTCTCTAAATGCAGCCCTGTCCCATGTCACACCCTCTCTACACAGAACCATGCGCCTCTTCGCAACTATGCTCCACTCCTCTCCCTCCCTCCACTCCAGCCTGCGGAACCATTCATACCCTCGTGGACACCCTGTTGCGCCCATCAGGGGCCTTTGCATACTCGTGCCTCTACCACCCTTGTTACCTATTTTTTTTATCAGCTCAAGGGTCACTTCTCTAGAGAAATCTTCCCTGGCCTCCTAGACTAGGTCAAACACCCTAAAATGTGCCCTCCCTCGGGTCCTAAGTCACAGTTACGAACTCCCAGTGTGTGAGCTGTTGATTAATGCCTGTCTCCATCCACTAGGGTCTAGGCTGTTGGCAAGGACTAGGTCTATAACACAAGACCCTGCATAATTCCTCAATAAACGTGACTAATTAAATCAGTGAAAGAACAGCACTCTAGCCTAAAGCGGAAACTGGGCCTCCCTAGCTGATATCATAAGTAAAGGACGCAGGAAGGCCAGGAGAGTGTATTTAGTGGGGCATCTCCCCAACTTCCTCCCCATCTACCCTAACTCCTTCTCTAAAGCAAGGGGAAGCAGCCCCAGGCTAGCCAGTACCGTTTGCCTCCAAAGCTGGGCCTCTCTTCATCCGAGTCTCGCTCTGCCCACACTCCGTAGGTGGCCTCTTCCTTGGTCTGCCAGTGGCGCTGCCGGTTGGGGTTGAACTCATTCTGCAGATCCCAGTCGGTGATCTCAAAGTTCTCCCGCTCGTACTCGTCATCATCCATGTGGCCTTCCCCGTCCCGATACAGGTGGGACAGCGACATGGCCGGTCACTAAGGCAAGAGACAAAAAGGGCACAGTCTGTGTTAAGTCCTGAGAGCAGCAAGAGAAGGCTTCCTTGTGAGTTCCTACTCCTTGCTACCTTCAGAACTTCCTCCAAACTTAGAGTCCATTAAAATCATTGTTACAATTTTAAAAAAGCAGACATTTAAAACATATTTTGGAAACCAATTGGTATTAAAACAGGTGGAACAAAAGACTAGTCCCAACAGTCTATGTGATTCTGAAGCATGTATTTCCTTGTCCTAGTCTGTCATAAAACATCTCTTTCTCTCTCTCTCTCATACACACATAAACCACACAAAAATAACTAAGTTATTTCTATATATTCTACATATTATTGTCTCAGAAATTGTGCCGACATCATCCCAGACTCCACATTTTATTATTTTTTTCTATTGGTGAGAAAAGAGTTATATCTGGACCTTTGGCAGTCTTAGGAAGGGATTTCTCTAGAATATGCTTTGAAACACATTACTTGCTGAGACACTAAGACTTCATTTTCCTCCCCAAACATGAACATCTTTGGATGAGCTGGACGGCAGTAGTGATTAGGAACACTACCTCACAGTCAAACATCTATTGCCTGGAATAGAAAATTCAGTTCTTGGTAGCTGGGGGATGAAATTCAGCTCTTTCTTAAATGCATTTACCACCGTACCAGCCTTAGAGAACGCTTGCAAGGCAGAGTCAATGAGATGATAAGTGTTCAAGGAACAATAGCTGTTATTGTAGTCCAATAATTAGGTTCATCAACATTACTATTATTGGACTAGGGAGTGAACCTAGCAAAGTGATTGTGAAATCAGGTGCTAAAAGCACAGCCTAAGTTCAAATCCCCACTCTAGCAGGTACTCAGTGTATGAGAACTAAAGGCACATTAAGCTCTAAGCATGATGCACTACACAGTAATATGTTCAATACAATTTAGCAGCAACTGTTGATTCTTCTTTAACCAGTTTCTGCAAGCAACCTTCAGGGTCAGCGAGTTCACTACCTCTACAAGCCGTGTCAAACTCTGGTCAGCTCTGTCAGATAGTTTTCCCTGCTTATTCTACTCACTGGTGCACTGGTTGGGTGCTGGTGGACCCAGCACATCCAGGGGTGCAAAGGAGGGAATCTGCTGAGTCCCAGAGTCAATAATACCGCTGTCTCCCTGGGCAGAGGGCACGGTAATAATTACAGGGTTGGCGCGAGGTAAAGAGCCCTCGGCTGGTGCCAAGTACCTGCTGGACACTTAAGGCCAACAATCTAATGGAGCCATCAAGCCCCTTCTATGAGGTTAGTACTATTAGCGTTTCCATGCTTCAGGTAAGAAAAATCAGGCTCCGAAAAGTTAAACACCTTGCCCTAAGTTCCACAGCTGGCACGGCTCGACATCAAGTGAGCCTGAAGCCACAGCTCAGGCATCTGTCTTTCTACTGTCCAGGCTTCGTGGTGGAGGCTGGGTTCCCAGCTCAATCCAGGCCGCGACTCCCCGGTAACCCCGAGCAGGCTCGCCCCTCTCCCGGCCTCGGAGGAACTGTTTGCAAAATGGCAGCCCACACCGGCGAGGCCGAGGCGTGCCTCCCCGAGCCCTCATACCCAGTCCCCCTGGTGCGGAGGTCCCCCGTCCTCTTCCACTCCCCGGCCCGGCTCACCTAGCCCGGGTCCAGCGTCCCAAAAACCGAGGTGAGATGCGTGACGCTCAGACAGTCCGGACCCAAATGTGCCGGAACCGGCGCGCCGGAAATGACGTCGATAGACAGCGGAACTGGTGCTCTGGTTGTCATGGTAGCAACGGAAGGCTTGAGAGGCTTGGGCTCTAAAGCGGGGGCGGGGGCTGAAGGGGGCGGTCTGAGATGCTAGAAAGGAGATGCGGCTTTTCAGGGCCCCCAGTGGCTCGGAGGTGATATGCCGGCTCTGTCGGCCTCCCTGCCGTGCCCGCTTCGTGGCGACGCCCAGCCTGTAATGAGTGTGGACGTCGCCGAGCCTCCTTGGCTGGCTCCTTTGCCAACCTGAAATTCTAAATCTGTAAAATGGGGATATAGGACTAGCTCATAGGATAGTCGTGAGGGATCGTATGAGACATTAAGGGGGCTGGGACACGGCATTCATACGAGAATAATGAAGGTCAAGACCGTATCCTGTATCTTTGGGGTCTCGCAGTATGAGCATCCTGTGGGCACAGAGCAGTTGCCTTATCTAGGAGTTTGAGGGAGTGAGGGAATGAATGGGCAAACTCTAGAGGTCCCAAGTATTCCCTCCAGGAAATCTTTCCATTCTCTCTCTTTCCAACAGGTTGGTAAATCAATTCATTCATTCGCTGATCTAATAAAAATACACTTGAGTGCCTACACTGTGCTAAGTTCAGAGGATACAAGGAACAGAGCAAGCACGGGCCCTCCCAGGAAATCCCTCACCAGCTGGGGACTCTGTGCGGGCACACGGGCCCTGGAGCTCTAACCTCAGCTCTGCCACTTTCCATCTGTGGACCATTACGTCTGAAGCTCAGTTTTCTCTTCTGCAAAATGGTTGAAGATCCAATGGATAAAAAAATATAAGCAGTTGGCCTTTTGAGCTCCTTCTTTTGCTGGCCTGCTCCGGACTCTTTGGAGTGTACTTTCTCTTCTAATAATGGTCCTTGAGTCATTGTTTTCTGCTCAGGTCCGCTTCTATGTACTTTTTCGTCTAATAAACTGCTCTTTTACTACTTTAATATGTATATATATATATATATATATATATATATGTATGTATATTTGCAATTAAAACTATTCTCAGTACACAACAGGTGCTTAGGAAGTGTTAACTGTTAATGTTTGCTTACGTTCTCTCTCCTTCCTATGATGGAAAGATCCAAGAGGCAGTTATTGGAGTGAACAAAGAGCACTGGACTTAGAGGTAGAAGACTTGGTTGGGCCTAATCTCCCAGGGTTGTAATTAATTAAATGAGACCTACATGAAGTCAATTAAATGCTGGCTTCTTGGGAATGGGGACTGTGATTTAATGGTCTCTGTATCCTCAGTGACATGTAGCATCACAGTGACATGTAGGCACAATGTACTCAAGAAAGAAACTGGAAAGTGAGGTTTTAGTGGAGGAGAAGCCCGGAGGGAGAGAGTCTAACAGACTAGTTCCACCGAGGAGCAGAGTGATGAAAACAAGAAGATGAGATAAACCATTTTGAGTCTGGGCTTGAAAGTGTATATGCATCTGTTTATAACGCAAAGCCAAAAATATAAGTAAACTCAGCTTGGCTTCTCTATAGCTATGTCTATAGATTTACAGCCAACTTTATGGGGCTGCAGTTACTTTGATCATGAGGGACTGATGGATTGCTTCGCCAAATAGACCCCACCAGGTGGCCTCTGGAGAAGAGAACTTAATGAGCTATTGTGGAGTCATTAAGAACATAGGCTCTGGGGGTGGCCGGTTAGCTCAGGTGGTTAGAGCGCAGGCTCATAACAACAAGGTTGCCGGTTCAATTCCCACATGGGCCAGTGAGCTGCGCCCTCCACAGCTAGATTGAAGACAACGACTTGAGCTGAGCTGCCGGTGGGCAGCCAGATGGCTCAATTGGTTAGAGCTCGGTGCTCTTAACAAGGTTGCCACTTCGATTCCTGCATAGGATGGTGGGCTGCAGCTCCTGCAACTAGATTGAAAAACAGCAACTGGACTTAGAGCTGAGCAGCGCCCTCCACAACTAGAATGAAAATAACTGCTCAATTTGACTGAGATGCGCCCTCCACAACTAGATTGGAACAACTACTTGACTTGAAGCTGATGGATCCTGGAAAAACACACTGTTCTCCTTCCCCAATAAAATCGAATGGGACCAATCAAAATCACGTACCACTTGATAGGATGCACTGAGAAGATCGCATCATTGCTCCTTTGATAATCCTGCCAAAGATGCATACCCTGAACCAAATCACGAGGACACATCAGACGAACCCAAATAAGGGACATTCTACAAAGCAATCAGCCTGTAATTTTCAAAAGTGCCAAGGTCGTGAAAGTCAAAGAAAGACCCTGTAACTGGTCGTGAAAGGCTAAAGAGACATGGCAATTACATGCAATCACATGAACCGGATCTTTTTGCTATAGAGGAAGTTATTGGGGTAACTAATAAAATTTAAATGGGAGCTGAGGTTTCCATGGTAGTGATGTGCCCCTCTTAATTTCCTGATTTTGATGGTTGTCCTGTGATTACACTGGAGAATGTCTTTTTTGGAAATAAGTATTTGGGGGCAGTAGGGAACTTAACCTCAAATGATTAAGAGGAAAAAATGTTTTCTCTGTACTTAAAAAAATTTTTAAATGAATATTCTGTAGTAAAACTTCAAGGATCCCAATCTCCTTTTGCTGCTTCCTAGGTTTGATACCTGAAGCAGGTTGCTTCACCTCTCTGCACCTCAGTTTTCCTATCTGTAAAATGGGGATAATGACAGTGTTGCTCTAAAAGGGTTGTTTTCAGGACAAAACAAAAAAAAAGAGGCAGGGTTGGGGAGTGTGCTAATTAATGCATATAAAGCTCCTGGTGTAGTACATGGTTGTGGCTATTTTCATTTAAAAGACCCAATCTCATACCTTTGCATGGAAGGTCTCTCAGCCTCAAAGGTCAGTGGTTTTTCCAGAATTTCTGGGTTCAAATGCACAGACTCAGGAAAAGCAAGGACAGAGGCAGTCAGAGGTTTACATTCAGGATCTCGTATCCATCCTGGTCTCTGGCACTGCTCAGAAAAACCCTTGCTTTGGGACTCAGGGACATCCAGGCCTGTGTATAGATTCCCAATGAGATATTCAGACATGTGGCCTTCCCAGAAGGGGTTGCCAGGCAACAAGGATCATCAGCAGGAGCCTGGCAGGGCCCTTGGACAACTCATCCGCCCCTCCCTCCCTTTTCACAGCTGAGGTGATACAGGAGGCCATGCCACAAGGAATGTGCCCACGGCCACACAGCAAATTTAAGGACAGAGCCAGGCCTGGAACCCAGTTCAGACTTCTAGACCAGCGCTTTACCTGTTATGCCACTCATGGGGCCCCCACACCATTACTTCCTACTTATTTGAGCTAATACTTCTAGAATGATTCCTGTCTCTTCAAAGCCTCTGCATACATCACCTCTGAGATTCCTGAACCTTCCGAGGTGCTTTCTATTATCACCCGAGTCCACACTCTTATTCAAGCCTTTATACAGCCTGTCCCATACAGCACAGTTTCCATACTGCCTTCCAAACATTTGGGGGAGAAAATCCTTGCTCGGTTACAACTTTAAATAGTTCGATACCATAGAAACAATCTGTAAGTGGTATTTCAAAGCTGATATATTTAAAGTCTAGCACAAGTACCTTTTCTAGGACAGTGACATTATACAGTTGCACATGGCTTATTCTTATTTTGAATCTTGTCACAGAAAATATATTTCGTGTCCTGAATTGAAAATCCAGATCCGCCAAGATTAGCAAATTTGATTTCCCTTTACTGTTTCTTACAGATGGTTTCTACCCTTTCAAAAACTTATGAGTGCTCGATCCTTATATAGAAGGCTGGGACATGAGGTTCTGCAGGCCTGAGGCGTTATCTGTAATGCAAGCGTCCTCCAAAGCACACAGGTGAGATGAGGAGCCTTCATCATTCATTCATTCATTCATTCATTCATCCATCCATCGAGTCACTGACAAATATCTAATGAGTTCCTATGTATCATCTACTGCGTTATAACAATTACCTTCAAACTGAACAGCTGGAAACAACAGTGAGCATTACCTCACAATTTCTTTGGATAGTATTCAAAAGTGGCTCAGCTGGCTCGTTGCGACTTGGCTTCTTCCTGGGGGTTGCATTCAAGATGTCGGCTGGGACTGCAGTCATCTGCCAGCTTGACTGGAGCTGAGGATCCATTTCCAAGGTGACCCACGCACACGGCTGGTAGGCTGGTGCTGGTTGTGGGCCGGAGGCCTCAGTTCCTTGCCACATGAACCGCTATACAGGCCTGCTGAGTGTCCCCAGAACATAGTGACCGGTCTCCCTGAGAGGGAGTGGAATCAAGAGAGACCAAGGTTGAAGACACAAGTTTTTTATGATCTAGTCTCCGAAGTCACACACTGTCATTTCCCTAATACCTGGCTGATTGCATGGTCAGCCCTACTTAATATGGTTGCCTGATTTAGCAAACAAAAATACAGAATGCCCTGTTCAATATGAATTTCAGATAAACAATGAATAAGCTTTTAGTGTATGTCCCATGAAATATTGTAAAATACTAAAAAATTATTCATTGTTTGATCTGAAATTCAAGTTTAATCATACATGTTGCATTTATCTGGAACTGTAGTCAGTGTGGAAAGGGACACCATACAAAAGGGGCGTGCCTACCAGGCGGAAAGGACCACTGGGAGCCGGCGCCCATGCCCCCTGACATGCTAGGCACGATATGGGGATAAATGGAGAGCGACGAAACATAGTGGTTCCCAAGCTCATAGTTTATAGTCTATAAGACTAACTTGAATCAAATCACCAGGCAAATAAATGCAAAACCTTGAGTATGATAAAGGGCTTCAAAAAGAAGTAGCTGGGGTTTGGGTCAGGGATGGGTTTCTCTTCAGAACAGCCATTTTTATGTTTTATAGATTGAGCTTTTACATGTGACTTTGGATGTGTGTGTGTGTGTGTGTGTGTGTGTGTGTTAGGGGGCAGTATATGGAAGATTCTGCCCCTGAAAGAAGGAAACAAAAGCCTGA